GGCTGCCATAGCAAAGGCACCCGCTGGACCCGAGGCAGGCTGCGTGAGGCTTTAACCCCTTTCCTGTAACAGCTGTAAGGCATACAGCAGAACAAAACTGTTCCCAAATGGCCAGGTCAGTATGCCTTACGGCAGTGGCATTTACAGTTCTGCTATAAGCACATGGTTGCTTTAGCAACCATGAACTTATAGCAGAACTGTTCCCTGGACGGTCCCCTTTAAATTAATAGCTGTGGCTCACAAGCCGCTGATGACAGCTATTAACAAAAATTCCAGGCGATCCCTCCCCCACCCCTGCCGGCACCGCTGCCGGCATCCAGTGCCTCTCATCCCTGCCTGGAGCGCAAAAACTATTTTTAACATAAGTCGCTTAGCAGCAGCAGCAGTGTTCTCGGTGTCATTTTTAACAGCAGAAGACTGCTGTTAATGTACAAGCGATCTGGTGTCTGTACAGTTCCCTCCCCCCCGCCGCGGCCGCCGTTGGCTTCCCCAGGCACCAGTGTCCCCGTGCGGCGCCAGGAGCAGCTCGCTTCCAGCCGCTGATCTCTCCTCCGATCACTGCACCCAGATATGATGTGTATTACATCACTTCTGGTGTGTCACTCTTTACAGTCTCTGGCTCTTAGAGCCAGGAGATGAAGCTGGGGAAGCAGATCTCTGCTTCCTCAGCTTCTTTGGGGTCCCAAGGTGACATTAGGGATCTGAAAGACCCCTGATGTCTCCATAAAGAAGACCTGTCACATCCTATCTGCTATTACATAGGGTGCTTGTTAGCTCCCCATGTGATAGCAATAGGGTTAGTGTAAAAAAAAAGTGTTTAAAAATGAAAGTAACATATAAGAAAAATAAAAAAAATGCTAAACATTTTTTTAAAGTCCCCTGTCCCCACGTGCACGCACATAAACACGCGTTGGTGCGCCTACATGTGAAAACGACAATTGTGCTACACATGTTACAGATCGCCGCGAACGTCGGAGTGAGAGCAATAATTCTGCCACTGTCAATCACTGTTAGCACTATACTGATGAGCGGTAAAAGTGTTTAAAGTGTTCCCTATGTGAAATTTTGGGTATTGACATTTTTTGCGGCTTCACGGCCAAACACAATTTTAAGGCTTGACATGTTTGGTATCTATTTACCCGACGTGATCCTGTCTTTCATATTTTACCAAAAAAATGTGTATTATATTATGTTTCTGTGCATTAAATTTTAATTTAGTTATTTTTTTCCTAAAAATACTGGTTTAATAAACATTTGCGCAAAAACCGTGCGACATAAACAATTGCAACTTGCATTTTTTTTATTCTACAGGGCCTTTGCTTTCAGAACATATATAATTTTTTAGGGGTTTGAAGCTGTTTTCTAGCCAAAATTTTATATTTTATCATGTGTGCGCAAATAGTAAGAAAATGCCTCGGACAGCAAGTGGTTAACCTCACTGGCGGTCTGATTATCTCAGTATTTTTCTCTCTTTTTTTTCAATTTTTTCTATTTTTTTTCCAATGATCTTAAGAAAAATATATTACATTGCAAACTGACTTCACAGAGACCTTCCTAAATACTCGGCAACACTGACTAAACATAACCTCATGCACAAGATCTTTGAACACACGTTGGCCTATCAATTTTTAAGATATTTTTTACGGCAAGTTTAAGTCAATTCATAAAGAATATCTTATGGTTTATTGTTCCTTTAAGTATGGTTGGCGCCTGGCTTGAGATAACATTGAGTTTCAGTGAGGTGTCTATTGACAAGAGCAAAAAAAAAAGAGAGTAACTCGAGGTGGTGATCAAATACGAGTTTTGTTAGAAAACTAACACTTTATGAGACAATAAGGGTTTCAATAGTTAAATGTTTATTTCATGTTCAAAAGTAACACTTCTACACAATTGTGATATCTATACCTGTGATTTGGACATCTTCAGTGTGAAAATGAGTGAAATATTTAAATAATGACAACAGGTTAAATACCTCCTATGGCTTAGGGAACTGAGACCCGGATATATTGTGAGAGGATCTCGTGTCCACTATAAGATACCTTTTCAAGGTGCCAGAATTCACTTTTTTCGCACCCGAGGATCGCTGACCTTTCCTCCCCATAATGTTGCACCGCCGGGTAGAGGTTCAAAGGACGGTTAGTGTGAATAACGGCAAGTTGTCACGGGCTGTAGCGGGAGCTCTGCTCAAGTGCGACCGTTCAGCGCCATGCGTAAGCCACGCCCCGGATATATTGTTTTAGATATAGTGGGTAAGAAGAGTCAGGCCCCTTTCACATGGGCAGCATCCATTCTGATCAACGGGGGTATTCATGCATGGATCCCCTGCTGATTGGAGCAGGATGGAATACATGTCACTTTTCTTGTATCTTTGTCCATTCAGCTTTTTCCTTCATCTTGCAAAAGAAGTATAAACTGAACTAACTGGACACGTCAGGTAAATAGGCAGTCGGATATAAGCGGTGATGTGTTCCTTTTTTTTTCCGGACCTAGACGGACTCAGAGGTAATTTACTGACCCACGGATTAACATTGAGCCTGAAAAACAGGCAGGTGGACCTGATCAGAACGCTGCATGAAAGAGGCCTGAGAACCTCGTCAGACTTTTGTTTCTGTCTGTCATCATTATTTTCTAGTTTGGTAAATAAAAGCATGCTGTAGCTATTGTGTTGTTTAATTTACAATCCATCTAGTGGGCAGCACTTTACAGTTGAGTACAGTTGCCTGAAATAGCTGTTTAGTGAGCTTGCAGAGCAAAGATGATGTATGTGAGGACGTATAGCAACACATTAAAGATAAGTAGATGAACTGGATATCTACTAAATGGAATTGGTCATTTTACACCCATTTGAAATATGACTTTTTCCTCCTGCAAGCCCCTCCTGCACATCACATATCAGGAAGTACCGGAGGGATAAGGTGTGCTGCTCTAAACTAAAGGATGGATAGCATGTGTGCTAGGAGGATTGCATGTCCTCTAAGCTACAGGACGGATAGCGTGTGCTCTAAGCTACAGGACAGATAGTGTGTGCTCTAAGCTACAGGACAGATAGTGGGTGCTCTAAGCCAGTGGTCCCCAACCCCCGGGCCGCGGACCGGTACCGGTCCGTGGATCAAATGGTACCGGGTCGCCCAAGGAACGTGTGCGACTTTCCATGGACGAGAGGTTTAAGGCCGTGACACACTGCAGGCGAAGCAGCGCGGCGAACAGGCGAGCGGCGACTCGCGGTCCTTCGCCTGCAGTGTGTCTAGTGAGTTCCAATCCCCCGCTCTGCCCGGCGACAGCGTGCGTAGCGCAGCGTCGTGAGATGAAAACGTTCATCTCCAGCCAATCACAGCGCGCGATGCAATGAAGGCATCACAAAGCGGCAACACGCGACCAGCCAATCAGATCACTCAGTTCTGAGTGATCAGTATCTGCCTGTGTCTGTATTTGCGTGTTTGCAAATGCGTCTTGTCAGTCCAGCGGAGAAGTGTCTGTGGTATGTTCATACAGTTTATTCATTTTTTGGTGTAACTGTATTTTATTTTGAAGGCATGTTTAAATACAATTAAATTAAAATTATTAAATCAAAACATAAACAACCAACGTCCCCCCCTCAGCGGGCCGCTGTAAAATGATCAAAGGTTGACCGGTTCGCGGCGATAAAAAGGTTGGGGAGCACTGCTCTAAGCTACAGGACGGATAGCATGTGCTCTAAGCTACAGGACAGATAGCATGTGCTCTAAACTACAGGACGGATAGCATGTGCTCTAAGCTACAGGACGGACAGCGTGTGCTCTAAGCTACAGGACGGACAGCGTGTGCTCTAAGCTACAGGATGGATTGCATGTACTCTAAGCAACAGGACGGATAGCATGTGCTCTAAGCTACAGGATGGATAGCATGTGCTCTAAACTACAGGACGGATAGCATGTGCTCTAAGCTACAGGACGGACAGCGTGTGCTCTAAGCTACAGGATGGATTGCATGTACTCTAAGCTACAGGACGGATAGCGGTGTGCTCTAAGCTACAGGACGGATAGTGTGTGCTCTAAGCTACAGGACGGATAGCGTGTTCTCTAAGCTACAGGACAGATAGCGGGTACTCTAAGCTACAGGACGGATAGCATGTGCTCTAAGCTACAGGACGGATAGCGTGTGCTCTAAGCTACAGGACGGATAGTGTGTGCTCTAAGCTACAGAACGGATAGCATGTGCTCTAAGCTACAGAACGGATAGCATGTGCTCTAAGCTACAGGACGGATAGTGTGTGCTCTAAGCTACAGAACGGATAGTGTGTGCTCTAAGCTACAGGACGGATAGCGTGTGCTCTGAGCTACATGGAGGCTTGCATGTTCTTTATATTACAGGGTGCATAGCTGCAACTGTGAAAAGCAGTACTTACAGTAGCAGTGTTGTGTTCTCATGGATCCCTTGCAAGCTGTAGTGTAGACTGTATCTAAAATGTATTCTACTGTTTGCTGAAACAGAATTGAACCCAGCAGCTTTTTTTTAATGAAGGGATAATGTACTAATAATAAAAGCAAGAATAAGAGATGGTATATGCCTTTTATGTGGTTCACACAGCAGTGGGTTGCTCTTTGTATCACTACTAAAATAAAATATCAGAATGCTTGTATCTTATATGATGGCAGGTTGTATCATAAGGAATCTTTTTTTTTTCTTGCTATTCAAACACAGGCTCTTTCATGCATTGAATGTAAAAATACAGTCAAATGCATTAAATATCCTCATTTACAATTGATAATATGCCCTTGACAACTTGTGCAAGTAACACTCTTCATGTAAAACAAAAGGAACCCAGTTTTCATTCTCAGAATGATAAAACCCCAACGGAAAGTATACAAAATCTCAATAGATAGAGCACACTCAGCAGAAGGCTCTGGATCTTTAGCGTGTATAGAATGGACATTTGTCTATTTTCAGCGAAACTTACTGTAACTATGAACCACAAATCCTCCCTGCCTTTCTTTTACTGATGACGTTATCTTTCCCTCTAGGATTCCTTGGTTTATCTGGATAGCCAGGGTCTTATAAGCGCTCTGCAGGAATTGCCTCTCCACCTCAGACTGAATGTGGAAGCTGATCTTGTTCAGGTAATTTCCTGCTCTCCTTTGTGCTAAGGTAACATGATATTCATCCAATCGCAATTGTTTCCTGAATTAGATTATTGTGAAGTTGATTTATCTTGTAAAAATCAATTTGTGAGCAAGTACCAACCCACAGACAGAGAAATTAGGAAAATGTGCTATTTGATTTTAATAAAAGCATTTTATTAACACATTTGATGTGAAACTTGGAGCCAGCTTGATTGATAAAATGTTATCTTCAAATGTAATAATTACATTAGAGAAAGGCTTTTTGCCTGCATTTCCACAATCTTAGGTGTGCAACTTTTAGCTAACATTTAAACCAGCTGTCATAAATGTATCTTCATTTTCCTGCTCTGTGTTTCTGTATGTTTGGAGTTTTGTGTTCATCACTTTCAGTAAAACCTCCTTGGGAGCTTGGTTACTTTATCCCAACATGATAGAATAGTAGCAAAATCAGCAATACCATTTGAAGCTGAACTGCAGGCAAATGGCTAAATACACAGATAAAACATATCTATGGGGGCTGTTTTACTTGCCAAGCACAGCCTGGTCACCTCCCTGTCCACAACCTGTTATTGGACAATAAGAGAGCATCAGCAGACTGTTGAGCTTGTCTTTTTTCTGCTCTAGGCATGGGCCTCGTAGGCCTAAGGGCATACAGCACACCTGATTGGCTCCTAGTCCTGCCCCTCCCAATTTCAATCTGATTTCTTCTGTATGCGAGATTACTAGATGCCCATACAGGACAAATTCATATAAATATACTAGCTGGATTTAAAAATATATTTAATTTGTTGTAATGAATACATAACTGCATAGATTGATCTTATTTTATGTAGGTGGAGTTCAGCTTTAAAGAAGGATATTTTTCTTCTAATTTTGTTAAAATGACTGCATTTCAAAGTTATAATTATCAACCCTTTCCCAGCCACCGACGTAAGGTATTCAGTGGAACAAAAACATTGTCAGCTGGCCAGCCCAGTATGCCTTACATCGGCTGCATTCACCCTTCTGCTGTAAGTTTATGGTCACTTCAGCGAATATGAACTTACAACAGAAGGGTCCCCCCGACTTTCTGTGTAAATGAATAGCTGTGATCCATGGCTGACATGCTATCCCTTGTAAATCCTCACCACCACCATCTGTTTAGACCCCTGCTACTTCCCCAAAGCCCCCTGACGGTAATGTAAATGACACTTACACACCACAGTGCATTGTTTCATTGTTAGAATCAAGCACTGCAATGTGTTCAATTATTTTTTTTGCTTTTTAAAATAACATTAATTTAACTGTGTGGCAGCTCATGGCATTACGACGTATTGCTTTGCGTTGTAATACATTGTGTTGCGATTAAATGTATGCCTGCATCATTTTACCACAACGCACACCACCATAGTACACAAATGACACTGCAGATCAGACATTACCACAACACATGAGTTTTGAGTTTCTTTAATTTTTACCGTTTTGCAAAAGAAACTGCGATTTTGAAATTTACATATATTTGTTTTTTGTAGACTAAGCACAGTTTTATCTTTTAGATTTAGTAGGAATCTTGTAAATTAGGTTTTTTTGTGTGCTCTGATACTGATTTTAGTGTATTTTTATTGAAAAAAAATGTTTTGATAAACATTTCTACAATTGTTGTGGGACCTACAAAATTAGTAGCACCATTTTTGTGTTATTTTACTGGTTCTGTGCTTTCAGAAGATTTATGGATAAGGGTGTCTTTTACAAACTCTAAAAGCTAAAAAAAAAAAAAAAAAGTGAGGTCAAAAGTATGTCGCAGGGCTTGGCAGCAAAAGGGTTAAAGCTTAATTAGGTAACACATTTTTCCTAAGCAGTGCCCTGAAAATGTACTTTTTTGTCTTGAATTGCTCCTGAAAACTGGCAGTCCATTTCCTGGTGTCCAATATTCCTAGGTACTTACAGTATAGCTGTATATCTGCAGTGTGAGATCGGTGGCACTGCTGCTTCTATCTGCCCTGTCTCTACTGAGATTGCCACTTCCACACAGAAACACAATGCAAAACAAAGCACATGATATGTCAGTAATGGGAGAAAGATCAGCTGCGGGATGACCACAGGCAATACTGGTAACTACCGTAGTCCTTTGCCCTCTACCTGCATTTTTGTACACAGCTTTCAGAGTTCAGTTCCTCTTTTACATGGGGGCATTTTGATCCAGAGAACTAATACAATTACCATTGTAGGATCAGAAATATTATTTTTCCAACAAAATTCAGAATTAGCCAGATTACTGTTAGTTTGTATTTGCTTCCCTCTGGATAAAACTGTGATTTGTTTATCAAAGACAGGACACAGAAGAGCACCCCACCATGCACAGTATCATCACGTTTCTTTGATGAAAGACAATAATAAAAAAAACTACTCACAATTGTAGCAGCTTATACGCTTTGTACTGTCTCCACACACAATGATTAGATGGGAACAGTCTAAGTGAGCAAACACAGAGCCTGGTCGGTGTGACAGAGAACGCCAATGGGGCTGCAGTGTATAGGATCTGAGAAAGGGGGGGTGCCCTTGAAGTGCGTCATCCGCTGCAGCCCCGTTGGCGTTCTCTGTCACACCGACCTGTGTTCTGTCTACTAGTGAGAGTTTTCCGATCTATCTGAGGAGCAGCACCCCTGAGCCGTATGCATGCGAAAGTGGGTGGCAATCCACTGACAAGTGCTAGATGATCATTGTGCATACCGTGATTTGTTTATGATTGAACTTAATGGACATGCCACTTTTTAAAATGTTTGCTTACTATGTATTTTTATTGACATTCTTGGCTTCTCTTAGTCTCTAAACTAGCCCTCCATTGGCTCACACTCTACATCACCCCCTTCCTCACTTTTGTTGTTGCAAATGGAATGTGGACAATATAACTGTGTTGCTTTCAGATTGCATATCAAGAGCTGGAATTGTCCACAGATCAATGAGATCTTCCTTCAGCTCTTCATCACCTGATATTTTCTCCCCAATTGTAGGAATATGGACTTATGATTCATTGTTCTGAAACCTTGTTCTGGTCTCCAGCAGCAAAATAGCCATCAAATTATTCTGCCATAATAAGCCACAATTGCTTCACACAGTAGGAGCTATGGATCCAGTGTCATCAACCATCTCTTCTACTAAAAGGAAATTTGAGAGACTGCCTCTATACATCCTTCGAAGACATAACTTCTCTTTGAAGGCATTCAACTTTTCACAAGCCTTCAATAAGTTGTTTCCCTTTTCCTTGAAGAGAAACACTCAAGTCATTCATATGACTGCCTAAATGCTGGCTTACTTAGCTTACATTTTCAAATTCATATGATTCCAATGTCCCAACCAGATTACATTCACGATCCTCCAGAAACACTTAGATTTTTTCCTAGTTCAAAGAAGCGGGCAAAGCTTTTCTTCATGACAACCAGTGGACTTCTGAGTGGAAGAGCAAAACTGAATGTTTACTTTCCAGATCCTCACAAAATGATTTGAAGATAGGAAGATGTGATGATTCACGCTATGCTCCCTGATCCAGTTGATGATCTTCCCACAAGTATCTAGGAATTTCTTTAAATTTAAAGGCAATGTTTTTGATGCCGATAAACAGAAGAATGAATAACTTGCAAGTATAGAATCCCTTTTTCATCAATTCAGGGAAGGCAGATTTCTTTCCAAGCATTGCAGGTGCCCCATCAGCGCAAAACAGAACCAACGACGTGTTTGGTAATTCTGTTATTTTCTCCTTTTGATTAATTAAACAATGATAATACTATCTATGCAACACAGCCACCAATACTACTGCTCAAAGCACACTGGTAGCTGGCTGTGTGATGACTTGTGACTAAGGGACACAAGTCACTCTTTGTTGCACCCACTGAAATTGCATCGTTTTGGGAACCCCTGCTTTAAAGCTAAAGTTTACCTCTCAATATGTCTACATGAATAATTTCTGCACAAGTCACATTATTTTTTACAAAAAAGCTGTACCTTTCATCAGTTAAAAGCAGCCAGTCAAGTGACTTTGCCTAGGATGAGTTAAAGGAGAACTATGGGGTCAGTGTTTTTCCCCATAGTTCTCCTTAGGGTAACGGGAGGACACAAACTAGCGTCCTCCCGTTACCCTAAGCTCAGTATACCGCGAGCTACAGCTCACGGTATATTGAGACGCCGCAGCCGGAGCGGATCCCGACTTAGATGACGGGATCCGCCCAGCTGCACGACTGACAGCTGGCTCTGCCTATCTAGAGGCAGAGCCAGCTGTACCCGCCCAATCCCGCGTCCGTTCCGCCAGTCAGCGCTGGCAGATTGGAGCGGGGAGAGGGGAATCCAGCCCCTCCCCTTGTCACGGCAGAGAGCCGTGACAGGATCGAGAGGTGAGCGAACCCGGTATGTGTTCGTTCACCTCCCGATCTACTGAGCCGACCTGGGACAGTCTCATTGTCACAGGTCGGCTAGAACTATGAGGTGAGTGAAAAGCACTCACCTCATAGTTCTCCTTTAATGTCATCAGTATGCCGCAGGAAGGAGGAAGCATTTTCTCAATCTCCTCTCCCCCAGTGATCAGACTGAAACATTGTAATTTTGTAGCAAGTCACAAGTTGAGGGGATGCTACAGGGTAATCAGAGTCACACAGTTATGAACACAGCTAAGAACTGCAGGATTTACATGATTGTGCCATCTCTGAGCTGGCATCACAGTCCAGGAAGTAAATGCTGACCCTGTAATATACCTGAACAAAGATGCCACTGCCTTGGATAGAGAAGCAGATGAAGACATTGTCAGGGGTACTGTGAGAGGTAATAAATACCTTTGCATGCATGCATTTCATATAAAATATATATATATATATGTGCTGCTAGGTCCACTGTAACAATACAAGGAAGCATTGGTTGTTTGCATATTAATATGTAAAAGAACAATTGCCACTATCTGGATTTGGAAAATGTTTGTCAATGCATGAAAGGCAGTAATAGACACATTTCAAAAGCTACTCTTTTGGAAAATTGATCTTTAGAGTTGTTTAATCTCACATCGTTTTATTGTCAGTTTGTGAATTTTTGTTTCAACAATGATGAAGTACAGCCACAAGAAAGAATTGAATTTAATGCATTAAACTATAACCAATTTATTTGTCGTAATGCATTATTCATGTTTTGTTTTAGGAGGAATTGCCTCAAGAGCTTCCACAGATGACACTAAAGAGTGGATCAAACATGGCACAAGCTTACATTGTGCAGAAAAGTTCTCCAACTATTGGGGCAGCAACTCAAGAGTCAGATCCTCTATCAAAAGACAAATCTTCCAATAATCCCTCTCTGCCGGGCCTGGATGAGGAACTGGACTTCCTGCTTAAGCTGGAGGCACCTGTCAGAGAAGGAATGGTGGAATTTCCTGATCAAGTCCAAGAGCATGACCAGCAGTTGTCGCTTGAAGAGCCTAGTAAGCACATACTACACATTACTTGGTTTGGCAGTGCCAGTTTCTGTTTTATTTGTGTTGTAGATCATTAAAACCTTTTCAGTGGTGTGTAGGAATGAGTGGAGTGATTTTGGCAAAATAGAAATGAGCCTCTAATTTCACCATGCTGTGCTGTTTATGGGAAATATTGCTTGCAGAAAAAAAAAATGTAGTACCCCAAGCTGACCACCCCTAATTAGTGAAGGACAGATATACCACCTATACCTTTAGGTGGTTCACTAATCAATACTATCTCCCTTTTCTGTCTTAATACTTGATTAAAACCACTTACTACAAAATACTGTGTAACCCACAAAGGGAATACAAGCTGGAAGCCTGGTTTATTAAGTAATCAGGATAGCCACTCACTAATTGGTTACTTGGGGGAGTCGTTGGGTTTGCAAAGCAATACGAGAAGATCTTTTTTTAAAGCAATTTTTGCCTAAGCAAATGAGAGCCGATTTTAGACTCTATCTCCCCACTCATCCCTAGTGCTGCATTAAAACGTTTATGACTGTGTGAGAGCTTTTGAACATATAATAATATTTAATTTGAATAGTTGTTTGTGTTTCTATTCATGTAAAGGACCTTAGGGCTCATTCACATGGACGCAAAAACAGGCATATGTATTTGCAGCACACGTGAATGCCAGCTGCTGCATTTTTGTGTCCAAAGGATTACATGGACAGATGATGCTGTAAGTGGATATACATGGGTAAATGTGTATAGGTGCAAGTACCAATGTTTGCACACATATGGGTGTAAGTCCCCAAATTCGGAAGTTTCATGTTCACGAACATACAACCCATACACACACTTGTACAGACAGGCATACCCGTGTACAGTGTATTCTGCCCATACAATTCTATGGACACAAAAACACAACAGCTCGGGCTTCTGGGCACTGTAAATACAGTCTTATTTACGCTGTATGCTCATTCTTGTGAATGAGCTCTTAAGCTGCTAATACTTTTATTTTTTCCTGTGCTTTGTGACCAGTCAGGATTTTTATACGTTACTTTGTACAGAAGGAAGCGTTTCTATCAGACATGGTGCTCCTCTCCCCATTAAACAAGACTGGATCTTAACAGCTGCCAGATCCTCTCCTGTTATATAGAAATCTCCCACAATCCTTGCATGCATGATTGATGAGCCTCTTTCAGTGTGCATTATTCAGAGAGTAGTTGAATGCCACATTAACCCCCTAAAGTAGCGCCAGGACGTGTGTTAGACTGCCATAGTGTGCAGGGAGGCTGTCACTTAGGAAGGGGAATGCATGTGATTTGCTAAAGGCAGTGATGATGTCTCAAACTGAAAATGGGATGCAATCACAGGAGGATGGTATGCTTATGCAGCACACATGCTGAGGGGAAGGGGGCCGGGATTTCTGTGGATTCACAGGCTTGTGCAGATCATATATATGAAACATTATATTTTATGTTAATTTGTTTTTTTCACCATAAAAACAGATATTTTAAGCAACAAAACACAACATTTTATTACATGTATGTATTGTTCTGTCTAAGTATGTATGCCATGTTATCCGGCGGGGAGTTCAAATGGGGCGGGCTGTCACCACTGTTTGTACAAACCTGCAGCAAGACTGACATTGACACATATAGAACTTTGTACAAGTGATAAACACGGGCATGTATGCTTGTCTACTCTTACTTTTTTTCAGCAACCCCTACCTTGACAGATGATGTCTGCTTAGCTGCTGAGGAGAAGCACCAAGCTGTAACTCCTGAGGATCTGGAAGACTGGCTGGACAGTATGATTGCCTGATGACAGGCAGCCACAGCAGAATTGTGACTTAAGCCACAGCAAGCTGACTGCGCCTGGGAATTAGGACTGTGTGTCTACCGAAAATAAGTCTGCCCTGCCTTTTACGTAGTGATTAGTTGGCTTTATATATCATGGGATATTGTAAGTGTATTGTTATTGCTTAGTCTGCTTTCTACTAAACCTTTGTTGGTGAGAAAAATAAAAAAAAAACTGTGAAATTGTGTGTTTTGTGCTTTTTCATTTACCATTTGTAGTCATGAAGAGTGAACCACCTCATAAAGCACAACTTTACTGAGAACAATCGGGGGACTGTCCTTGACTTATGGAAATGCTGGTTGCCTGCAATACTTGCTGAGTCACTGACCCTGAACTAGATAGGTCAGAGTGACATCAGGAATCCAGATCTGCATACTTCTTCTGGTTCAGTAACTCAAAGAGTAGTAAAGCCAATGGATCAGCATGGCAATAATGCCACTGCCATTTTCTGAAGAAGTCGGCAGTGGCAGCCTCCATGATTCTCTCAGTACAGGTTTGCTTTAATAATTATTTCAAAATCATATGAAGAATGTGTTGTGTCATCTAGTGCCTGTTGGTGCAAAGAAAGACAAATAGCTTGGCTGGTTCATAATTTATTTATTGCGATGGGCACTTTATTGTATTTGAAGAAAAATGCATAAAGTTAGCAGCTTCACTACAGCACTTACCAATGACCAGAAAGCAGTGCTTGAATTTGGCATAATATTTCCATTTAAGAGAATATAATTAGATACATTCCAGTTTCTTTAAATAACAGCAAACTGTCATTGAAAGAAAAACTAAATAGCAACTGAATGCAGTTTCTCATTTCATACAGTAAGACAAAGAACAGCACAACATTTGTGAATTTCATTAATCTAATGTACTAACATGAAAGAAGAAAAAAAAAAAAGTCTTGCATAGCTACGTCTACAGACGGTTAAGGCACTTAATCGATTAAGTTCACGGTCGAAAAAGTGTTAAGAACAAACTTTTCCCTTACTATCATTTCCTTCAACTGCCTGAAGCTGCGTCTCAATCTATACAGCTAAATGCTACCATTTTGTCAGACTAGGCTTTCTTACACAGGTAAACTTGTATAGTCAGAGCTCTCAGCCACAGAGATATCCAGCAGCTTACCGTTAATACCTAAGGCCATGACAATTTCAGCCTGTGTACGTCCAACTGAATTCCTCCAGGCTTCATAGCATAAACATCCTTACAAACAGTTGCAGCAAACTTCGATTAACTTGGCGTCTGTGACTAGCATCTGATAATTATTATTTTGTTTTAAGTGACATCCTTAAAAGCCTCATTGGCAAAGTAAAAATAGAAAAAGAAAACTGCATGCTTCTCCAGACACAGAATCATTTCTAATTGCTGGGGTGAATCTGCAAAATTTGTGGTTTTAAACTTGTACAATAAATCTGCACTTTAACTGCTGTGATGGAAGAAAATGACATAGTGCACAAAACTCCCATCACATCAGCTGCTAAGGTGTGTGTGTGTGTGTGTGTGTCTATTAGCCCTTTTTAGTTCTTGGGCAGCCAGATGTATGGCATTTCTGTAATGAGATGTCTGCCCGTGGTTTTATCACTGACAAAAATCAAGATTTGCTGGGAAGCAGATGCAGTCAGGCTGAATATCACTGATTTATAAACTTTCCCTTTTAGTCCTTGCTGGTTTGCACCAAATCCTAGTTACTTTCCTTGTATGTTTTAAGTGACTTGAAAAATGCACTATGGCTAAACGAGCACGGTGTAGCATTGTTTTGATGCACTGTAGTGATATTCTTTGTTCTGTGACTCTCATATTTCATTGCACATTAGTCTATAGACTTGTGTATATATAATACACATCCACAAGCAGGTTGTGACACTGTTGGGAAGAGTGGCCTACAAGTAAATGTGTCCGTTTGGGTAAGTCTTTGTTCCAGATGCAGTCTCCTCCCCATGAATCTTGCTCTCAGTGAAATGTGTATTCATTATCCGAGTAGGTCTTCATACTGCTTGCGGAAACAGTCACCTGCTGGGAAGAAGTCCCAACATCTCTCCTGATACATTTTCCAGACATACGATTCCTGATGGAGACGTAAGAAGAGTGATTTGTAAATGTATGAAAAGAAGATAATTTCATGTCATTTTCGGTTTATTTACTGTTTGGTAACAATGAATTGAAAGCCCCGCTGCTAAAACACAGCTTGTTAGAGAATGTAAAATAGGAGAGAAACTAGGCATGCACTGCAATTTTTGGCTGAAAGATAGCACTTTCGGCTAAATTTTCGGTGCATCCCTAATAATAAGTAGAGTGTTTTCCTAGATAACTGATTAATGCAGCCGCACCTCTGCCACTGTTGGTGGCTCTAAAGAACCATTTCACCATTAGAGTTAGTGACAGACTAGGATATACCACTACATTAAAGCTAAACACTGCATTTAAAAGTCTTTTTGTCTATAGATTGCATAGAAAATAAAAACATTTTCACAACACAATACTGCCAGAGAAATGCCTAGTTTTTCCCCACCACAAAAAACAATGCATGCATTTATTTATGAATAATGGTAGTTATCACTGAATAGTCAGACCCAATGTGGAAATGTAAAACATGCTCTGGCCCTTAAGGTGTAAACAGGTACGAGAGATGAAGTGGTTAAAGAAGAACTCCAGCAATTTTTTTTATTAACCCTTGCAGTTGGGCTACCCCCCCTGCAAGTTTTAACTACTTGTTTGTGTTAAAAAAAAAAATCAAAGTTATACTCGCCCACAGTTCACAGTCGGCGTCTTCTCAGGCCGGTCCTTCTGTCACATACCTGGTGTGAGACCGGATGGAGGAAGAGGCGTCCCGTGTCCAACTTCCCTGGATATGAGGACAGGGTGAGCAGGACACAAGGTAGCACTGGTGCCTAGATGGTGGAAGACCAGGAGCAAGCGGGGTACCGGAGCAGCAGACAGAAGCTGGGTCGGGGTCATAAGCCAATCAGTAACAGCGTACAGAAGCAGGGTCAGGAGCGAGCAGAGGTCAAATCCGGGAATCAAGCGGGCACAATCAGCAGGCAGACGAATGGTCGAGGCAAGTCGGGTCAGATAACAGAACGTAGCAGGATCACAGGAACTACAGACAAAGGAACAGCTGAGAATCAGTCAGCAATGGATGGGTGCCAGAGGTCTTTTTAAATAGGGCTTCAGGACGTCACTTCCTGTGCAACTTTGCGTGTACTTTCCAATGCGCATACACATATTGCACATATTTGCCCTCTGACCCTGAGCATGGGTTTTCTGGACATGCACATAGGGGCGCACGACACTCTGGGTATGCACAGGGCTTCTCTTACACCTTTCAACTTCTCTCCCCCCCCTGCTGCAGCAGTCTAAGGTCCCATAAATCATTGTCTATACACTGCGTATAGACGTGAGAATGCTGATGAACATTCTAATGCTGCAGGAGAGACAAGCTGGAGGGAGCTCTGTGACAGCTGGCCGGCTCGGAGCTTTGGGTGAGTTTATCTGTTGTTTTATCACCGAGACAGAAACAAGCACTTAACCCTTGCAGTCCGGGGTAGCCTCACTGCAAGGGTTGATAATAATTTTTAAAAAATATTCTGGAGTTCTTCTTTAAATATGACACATATTCCAGTGCAATACACAGATTACTTCTGATATTCACAATAAATATAGTTTCAGCAAAAAGCACATTTTAGTTTTGGTTTATTCAGTATGAAATGCTGACATACAAACCTCTCAAGTATTGCAAATGTCTATAAGCTACTGAGCAGCAGGGCTTCATCAATGAATTGCTTCTAACAGAGGGACACAAAACCTACCTGGCCAGTGTGTTCGGTTTCATCTTTATTAATTATATACATGAGGAAGAACCTGAAACAAGCACAGAGATATTCACATGAATCAAAAAGATAAGGCCTGTGGATTTCTGAGCAATGCTACTGGTTACTGGTAATGAGGTCTGAACAAGACTGGCTTGCTGGCTAGATATCTGAACATTTCTGGCAGATAAGCTTTACAGAAGAATGGAACATAATTCAGATATTAGTAACATTCTAAGGATACAGAGGCAAATGAGTTGTTTCTGGCTGTAAGTACACAGGGAGTACGTTAAGGCAATGTTTCTTGAGCTGAAGTTTAATCTACTTCTATTTTGCCTTCTCTGTTTCCTCATTTCCCCATCAATATGATAATGACATTTCATAATGTACCTAATTTTACACCCAGAGAGCGCAATATGTCACATGCACACCAAGTATCTGTGTCCAAAAATGTCTTTATTAATGTATACACATTTTGTCAAAAGGCTGATACCCATTGGCTTCCTCTCTTTGATCTCCTATCTGATCCTGATGTCCTGTGTCTGGGCTATTAATCTGTGTTGTGTAGCTTTAATATTAGGTCTTTTATCACTGTCCCTGATCCTTTCTGGGAGACTTTGCCACCACACTTCCTGTCCCTTTGACAGCAGGACTAGAACTGAGAAAAGCAATTGTCATTGGAACAGGAAGGCACTGCCAGGAACTAACCCTTCCCTACGTCACTGAAATGAAGTGTTTTGTTGCAGCCTGTGTCCCCACTGGGAAGATTTACCATCACTTCCTTTCCTGACAGAAAATGAAGAGAGTTCTCTCCACAGCAGTTCTACGCTTTAAAACTAAAGGGAGATATGGATTTCTGTTTTAATTGAAGTGTTATGCGTTAACTTTAGGGTAATGATTGTAAGCCCTCAGGGGCAGGGCCCTCCTTACCATCTTGTATTGTATTGTGATTGTAATATCTTCCTTATATTGTAAAGCGCTGCGCAAACTGTTGGCGCTATATAAATCCTGTATAATAATAATAATAATAATGCTTGGGAAAGGTTTGGTCTGAACATAGAGTTTTTTAAGTCCGGGTTAGGTTAAAGCAAACCTGTAAGCTAGACTTCCTGTGAGAACCAGCAATGAAAGGATATGAAGAATCCCTTCTGGAGCATCAACATTCTATGGATCAAATAGACTTCCTGGTCTGTTGCCCGTCCCCTCTTTTCTCCCAGTTGCTCAGTGAGATTGCCCATCATGTATTGCTTTAATGAAGGGGCAAGCCACAAAGCAACCAGGAAGAGATCTGATCATTCCCTACTTAATAAAGCACTGAGAACCCAAGCGTAATGGCGTGCACAGAAAAACTTGTTTTGGATGCAAATAGCACAATGCTGAGAAAAAACTATGCAGAAACCCAGTGTACTGAGCACATGGAATAAACCCGACTCATGGTTCTTACAATGTACAGTGAGGGGAATTTATCAAAACTGGAGCAGACAAAATCAGGAGCAGTTGCCCAGGGCAACCCATCAGATTCTCTGTTCAGTTTGGTCAGTTAAGATTTGAAAATTTAAAACAGAAGCTGATTGGTTACCATGCACAACTGCTTCAGATTCTGTCTGCTCCAGTTTTGATAAATTCCCCTCAATGAATGCTTGCTAACACTTGAAATATACAGTTCATATGAGTGACCCTATTGGCAGTATATTAAGATCAATAAATAGTAGTTCCTAATCTGTTAAGTGACATATTTGATTGCATGACGGAAGCTGTGACAGCTCATGCATGGGCACTCTCACTTCGCAGCACTATCTAGCAGCAGTAAAAGCAAGAAAATCAGCAAGATATGAGCTGACTCCAAGAGACATTTGTAGATATCCTGTAGGAATTAACATTTGACACCTGTGGCTATACAGCGTCTGTTTGAAAAGGTCAGTGTCGAAGAATTCCTTCAGCAACGTCTTACATTTCACATGAAAATAATTGCAATATTCTTCCAAACATTTCATCAGTTGTCTCTCAGTCTTCCTTTCCAGTCTCCATATACTATCAGCTGCCTTGTTTCTCCCTCATACACAGTACAGATATGCAGCAGGGTAAATGTGTGCAGAGTTTGCTGCTTCAGCCATTTGGGGCACAAGAATAAATATGCTGCAGAATGAGTTTCTTATCTTACATATGTGCTGCATTGTGAACATCCATCTTCTTTCCTTGGCACATGTTAGAGAATACAACATTTCATATACAGGAGCTGGCACTCACACTGCTAAGAAGAATCCATTTCTACTTACAGATAGTTCGCCAAATTGTGCTCTTGTAAGGTGTGTGTTTCAAAGCCATGCGGTGTCGTGTCAAAGTAATCATTTCCAATTCCACAAATGAAACATTTTGTCTGAATAAAAGAAACAAAGTCAGAGAGTTTAATGTTGGGTAGTGTGGATAGTACAGTATGTCATTTAGTGTGCCTGTTCATTGAGTGAAGTGTCAGTGTGTTTGGTGTATCTGAAGAAGACACAGACATACTATGTCATAAGACGCAGTCAGTTCACATGAATGGTAGCAGAAGACGTCACCTGTCACAATGTGATTCAGTATAAAAGAACTTGTCATCTGTCCTTATGTCAGTGTGCTCAGTACGTCCCTCAGAGGGGGTCAATGTGACAACACTTCAGTGTATCAGAATGTTCCATGTACCAAATAATTTAGCACATATTCTATCCGTGTTCCCAAAGCATTGCAGAGCCCCGTCCTTCCCCCCGAGGTGTCCATAAACAGTGATGACAGGAAGTAAGAACAACCGTTCACATTTGTTTCAATACTCTTTGTATACACATGTGAGATCAGCGTAATTACAATATTATCAGTGTGTGTGGTAATGTGTTAGAAACCTTATTTCTGCATTATACTATTTGTACATATAGTGTTATATGTATATGGCAGAAGCCGTGCTTGCTCATTATTTTATTGCATGCAGATGCTGCTTCCTGTTTGGTAGTTTTTCACAGACTGTGCCCTGCAGCTTCTCATTGCCCACTGCAAGTCTAGCAGACAGGATTTGTCTGATTGAAAGATTGTAAAGGGCTTATTGTTTCTAACACCTGCAATGTTCCTTGTAGCCAATTCATGCTTAAGCTTTTTTTTTAATCATGGAAAGAAGTTTTCTTTACTTAAAATAACAATGTGCCTATTCATTCATGTGAAGTGTGGAGAGGTCCAACTGATATGAATGAAACAAACCCTTTCTGAGGAGTGTACCTGCTGTTTTTCCTAAGTACATTATGTTATTTTGCTGGATACTTGCATACCTCCATGTCTTCTCTCACTTGTTCTTGTTGGTCTCTCAGTTCTCCAAAAGCATCAATGATCAAACCTATAGCAGAAGACAACATGTGAGTAGGAGGGATGGTGTAATGAAACATCTTCACCGTCAGTCCCTGCAGACAGTCCTCTTATGCTCCTGTATGATCTCCTTGTCCTGTATACCGGACTCTGTAGGATTGCAGCCAAATTCTAGAATTGTGCTATAAACAGTGTTTGGGGGATATCGGCCAGTTTTCCAAAAATCTGGGTTTGTTGTTTTTTTAGAGAAATCCAGAGGCTGCTATGGCTGACCTCCTCTGGAAAAAAATACTAAAAATAATCCTAGCCATCTGTGGCACTTATACTGACTCAGAACACACATGCGGATCAGGAAACATGAATTAACATACTTGTTCTCGGTCAGCCAGAAAGTAATAAAGCTGCTGAACCAGAATAACAGCCAAAGTATTAGTATTTTCGCATCTGGAAGCCAGAAACAGAAATCTCCATAGTTCCCCCATAGGGTTTCTTTAACCATTTCAGGAACAAAGGCCATTGCATTTCTTTTAAATGCAACTAATATAAGTACATTCATTTTACAAAGTATCAGCCTCCTGTAATCTCCTGCACAACAGCACCCAGACTGGGAGGAGGAAGGACAGCACTGAAAGTCAACCAGGACAGGTTTGTTTCTAAACAAATCTCACATGATCACCATGATTGGCTTTCCTGGCAATCATAGGATTTAGTACCATGCTGATTGGTTCCTGGTCATCAGCCTGAAATCTGTGGCTGAAAGGGAAAGCAAACTCTCAGAACTAGGAGCTAGAACAGAACACAGATGAACCTTCTATCATCATGAGGTACTGTGACTGACAATGTCAATCTACAAATTGCAGTCATGAAGGTGATATAAATTGGCTTTTAGCCTGGAAATCTATAACATGACTGTTTAAGATCTCTTTGGGCTAGTAATGCCATATATTTTATAAGACTTTTTTACATCCTAAAATTCTGGAGTAATGGCACATATGTCTGCAGCTAACATGAACTAAAAACATCTCTCTTATTACACGTGACTGGAGGGTGGTCAACATTTCAGATGTTGGCAGTATTCTAAGAAATGTCACAAGGTTAGCTACCTTGAATAATGGCCAGAAGTATGACAATAACAAAGAAGAAGAAGGTGATGTCGAACACAATACGATACATCTCATAAGGGTCACCGGCAGGGTCTTCAATCTCATCTCCAATGCCACCTCCAGCTCTCACTCCCACATACATGTGGAACAGGTAACACTGCGAAGCAAGAATAAAGTGGATATGGTCAGTGAAATCAAGCAGAGTGCAGGGATTTTTAAGAGTGAGAATCATGTAGCACCCTTGTGCAATCTCTAAGCCACAATTGCTGTCGCAGTTGCAGACCTCCAAACAAGGCAGGACTGGCTCTTTTTAGGGCAATGATGGTATGGGTCTTATCAAGGAAGTTTATTTTTTTTTTAATGCATAAAAACTGATTATATGGCTTTTATATGACTAGAACAAGGTGAGAAAGTATGATTACTGATTGGTTGTGGGTATACCACAGATTTAGATACATGGATGAACCAAAGTAGAAGGAAGGTGTCTGTTGCTTAGAAAAGATGTCATGTTTCTGCTGCAAGTTAGAAAATATAAGGTATCTAATTGGTGGGGTAACATAGGTATGTTTTTTTTCTCCAGTCTTGTTATTAAAGTCTATAGTGTTCACTAGGAACTTGGCTAGGAGATTTCTACCATTGACATCTTTGATTGTACTGATATTGTGTTATGTCTATACACTCATATTTATCTGCATTCATTTTTTGTATATATTATGCTGGACATACCGTCATCATGTCATCACACTTCATATCAGGGTCATCTTCGTCTTCACTCTTATTGTAAAACTTCCGGAAGAAGTTGAAGGCCACAACAGTGTAAAGATAAACAACTACCGCCAGAAGTCCAACTGTGAGCACCAGCTGGTGAAAAAACATTTTATATTCAGCATAAACCAAATTTAACTTGGCATTCCAGAAAGCACATAAACATTTGTGTGTGATTTGTAATAACACATCAAAAACACAGTGGACCATGTACCATACAGTGAATTATGTCTGTGCTATATGCAACCACCATTCAGACTCAAAATTCTAGACAGAGATAGAAGCATGAGGCTATTATGGTAGCATCCCTGTCTAGATCGCTCAAAATGCCACATCCTAACCACTTCAGGACCAGCATGTTACATACCAGCTATTTTCCGGTGCTGAGCCAATGGAGGCACTGGTACTGGAAGATACTGGTACTGGCCGTACAGGCACTGGTACATGATGATGCTGATACTGGCTGTGTGGGTACTTGTAATGGAAGATACTGGTACTGGCCGTACAGGCACTGGTACATGATGATACTGATACTGGCTGTGTGGGCACTTGTAATGGATGGCACTGGTACAGGATGGCACTGGTGTGGTTGTCCAGGCACTGGTACTGGATGGCAAATCGGTAAAAGCTCATACAACAGATCAGTGTATGAAAGGACAGAGAGAGCTGGTTGCTAATCACAGCCATTGTTTTCATTTTGTGATACCTGTGATTGGTCAAAGCAATCATGTGGTACCGAGGAACTTTCATTGGCTCTGTAAAATCTTTTTGTTATTTGCTCTGTAAAATGGCCGTGTCACCACAAGTATTGTGCTGCCATTTTAAAATAGTTATACGCCCTGGGGAGGGGGGGAGGGGTTAAAAAATGTGGCCACAGTAACTGTACAGTTTCTAAGCCTTTCCTGTGTGATCTTATATTATAATTAAAGTGTATTTCCACTTTTGAAGCCAAGTTTGGATAATATATATTTTATATATGTTACAAATTTCACATTCACATTGCATAATATTACCAAAAGTAAAAGGTTGCTTTTTTTCTGAAAACCCCCAAACTGAAGTTTATTGTTTTCTGTAATTTCAAGGAGGGGGCTTAATGCAGGTGGGGAGATAATGTTTCCCAACATCAACCCTGTACTGTGCTGGCTGGTCTCAGTTGTAAACTACAGTTGAACACTGTCTGTCCCAACAAAGGGTTAAACATCTAAAGCACTGTATGTTAATATGAGGAATTTCAGTCTGTCTCCTTTGTCTTGAGGACAACTCACTCACAAACTGTTCAGAAAAGCCTGCAGTCTGGCTAAAGAAACAGCTAAAGGGTAAGTGTTTGTTAAAAATTTTTTTCGGTATGCTGTGCGAATGGGAATACATAACAAACATATGGAGGGGTTTTCTCAAATTTAACTGCAAAAGTTGAATTACACTTTAAAATCTTGCCACACTTTTTTCTCTATTTTGAAGCAATCAGTGTCCCCATATGGTGTTCATACAGTGTCTTGGTTTGTATGCAGTGACTGTATTCATTTTATTAAATGTGCTGGCACCCCCAGCTCTTGTAGGGCTCCTCACAGTTTGTCCCGATTGACACTGTCCAAAGATTTCTTGCAGTTGAAGCATATGTGTACGTTTTTTTAAAATTCATGACATTTCTCCATGATCCAACACAGAACTGCGATATGGTCCCGAGTGCCACGACCCAGATGGAAGCTGGGCATCTGGTAATTCCCTTTCAATTGTCAGTGCCAGAAGTATGATCTTAAGGAGAATCTTACCAGCATGAGGGATGAGGGCAATTGTTTAAAAATTGAGGCAGTTCTTGGAATCAACCTTTTTTGGAAGTGGGATAAACACGTGGCCACACAATACTGTGGCCATGTGTTGGTTCCTCAGACTTCCTGGCAAAGAGCTGTGATGGTTGTAGGTGGGACAGGCCCCAGCAATTCCACAGGGATGGTATAGATGCCTGGGACCTTGTTGCTTGGCAACTGGCCCATCATGCAAGTGACTTCCTCCTCCTGGATGGCTGGTTCCCTTTTTGCTTCACTTTCACCATCTTCCTGAGGGGGCTGGGCCTCATTGTTTAAGCTCTTCGGTATATTTTTGCCATCTGTTCTTGACACGTTGTTGGCCAGATAGTTCTCTTCCTTGCTTGTTTTTGATGATGCCTTTGTGAGCAGTAAATGGTATTAAAATCCTTTTAACTAGCACAAATGCATTTCTGGTATTGCCCTTTATGGAGACCTCTTCTAGCTGCTTGCATTGCTGGACCCAGGAAACTTCATTGTCTTTCCCTGTTACCATTTGGCAATCCATGTTCAATCTTCTTGTATCAACCCATTTGCTTGCTGCTTTTGTTTACTATTTTTGGCTATTGTTTGGCTATTGTGATGATTTCATCTGGCAGCCACTTGCATCTTTTCTCTGGCTTTTTATATGGTATATGTTCAACTGCTGTTTCGACAATGGCCCATTGAATTTCACAGCTCACTGGACATCATCTCAGCAGTGTCTAGCAGTTTAAATCTATTTTTTATTTTAATTTCATATGTGGGAGGGATTTTAGTGGTGTTAAATCCCTCTGATCATGCAGTCTTGTTAATGCAAAGTTGGGTCGACACCCTGAAGTGTTTTGACAGTAGTGACAGAACTTGTCTAGTAATGATTGCATAGGACATAGTGGATCTGATTATGGTGCAGTTCATTTGGTGAGGTCAGAGCGTATGAGCAATATTTGTGTTTAAATAAGTGTTTAAACCAGGTGTTCATAATTCAAAACCAATGTTGTGGCAAAATTGGACCAAACAATCACATGCATCATTCCTCTACCCAAGTCAGAAGCTGCTAGTTATGCCTACCTTTGCCCAGGTGCTAACTTTTGCATTGATATTGCCCAATATATAAATGTTGTCTTTTGTGGTGTGATGATCTCCCTTGTGACAATATCCAATTTACCTTGACTCATTCCTCTGACAATCCATGTAGCTATCTGATGTGTCTCTATACAACACAGACTCTTGCTTTCATTATTGGGGATTCCTGCTGAATTTGTTTCAGGCGTGCCATTAAAGCCTTGACTACTACCTGCTCTTCCTTTTTATTGGGTACCTTTTGGCCCAGTGATCCCTACTTTTCTTGGCATTTTTTTTCATGGGGAGGTCGTCAGCTCTTCCCTCAACCTGCCGCATTTGCCCAGGCTTATTTAGAGATGTGTATTTCCAAAGGTAATGACCATATCTCAAAGTAGGTACCTGCTAAATGGAAGGTTGAATAAAAGCATACCATCCATTTATCATTAGACCTTTTCTATGATTACTTGGACTTACAAAAGTAGGGTTTATACATACAAATTGCCAGGCCAAACATGCTAAAGACACAAACTTTTTCAGCAGGGAATGGTAAAAACATGTTAAAAGATGTACCATTGGATCTCATATTTTTCATTTAAACAGTAAAAAAATTGGGATTTTGCCTGTACATTTTTTTTCTTGGTTACATGGCACAGGAACAGAGCCTTAGAGCCTTACGGTTACATGGCAGCTGTCTTCAGGTCTCTGGACACTGGCAAAGCTGTAAGGAGAGCCCTACTGATCTCTGTGGGCTCATCCCCAGAGGGGTTTTCAGAACAGCCCTGGACATGTATAGCACTCTGCGGCTAACTCAATGTGTTGCACTGCAGTGTCAAGGTAAGTGCCAAACACAGGGTCCAGTTCCTGAAGCAACATTACAGATCACCCTCAATTGCTTGGATAGCAGAATCTGGGTAGAGTCCCTGATGCACCAGGCTGAGGGGCACCGATACGGAAGCTGCAAATGAATTCAGTATCCCAAAGCCACTGTGGCAATGGAGTATCCACGGCTTGATAAAAGAATTAGCAGATAGTTTTTTCAAAGGTAGAAAGCCATATCCCCTCTTAGTCAGGAGGGGAGGTCCATCACCTAAAGATACTAGCAAAAAATTGAGGCTTGCTGGTGTGGGAGGGGTTATATGGGCAGTTCGGACAACTTTGTTTGCCGGTGTCTAGTCACCTGAAAGAGGCAGCATATGACCCATGGTTGAGATTTACTCCTGTAGTGTACAATTGGGATACACAGTATGCAGACTCCTAGCGCAAGCCGCATTCTACATATACCTGAATGCCAAAGCGGTGACTCATTGCATTGACCGATCCTATATTGTACAGTAGGGGTTTCAGTCATACAAACAGAGCCACAAGGTAATCTACTACTGCTGTGTGCTATCTTTTACCAGACTATAGAACTCTGGAAAGCCTTTGCCATGCACTAAATGTTTATTAGTAAAGCAAGAACTTTACAGAAGTATATACCAATAACAATATAACAATATAATACAATAGTTTCAAAATGTATAACCTTTAGAAAAACAATTAAAGTAAAATTGAACTATTATAGTTTCCCTTTAAAGGGGTATGTCCAGGAATTTCTACTCTTTCTGTCAATCAGCTAAAATTGTTGAAAACATCTAATAGGGTGGGAGTGTATGTGGGGATGTGTAGTGTTAAGGCAGCCCATTCATTTTGAAGGTGTTGTGGTGCTGCAATGCAAGTGTATTGCTTAGTGTATTAGAGTGCCATTCAAAATATAAAATAAATATTACTACAGTGCAGTAATGTGTGCATGGTGTGGCACATTACTGCACTGCAAAGATGTGACCATGGCTTTACACTTTGAGGACAAATAGATATTTTCACAACATAAAACTATCTTTCTAAACAGATAAACCTAATAAGGAGGAGAGCTTAGACTTAAAGGTATGGGCAGTGTTTTGCAGCTGTTTAAGCAGCAGGTAACAATTATAAGTACATGCTGTGAGTGTTTAAAGCAGCCTGAACCTGGTAATTTATAAGAAAGCTACAACAAACATCAGCGACTAGAAGCTGACAGAAGAGGAAAAGGCAGAAAGGGCTTTGCCGTTTTCTAGGATGAAAACGTACAGGTACAATTCAGAGATGGAAGCTAAATATTGTCTGCCAATGTCACAAGCTTGTGGAAGTGATGTTACACAGAGTCCTTTCAATGTTGTTATAGAGGCTTCTTACAAAAGTGCATGACCCAAATACATGTAACTATACAAGTGGCAATAATTACTATCTAATCTAATGCTATTATCAGGCATGCTTTATGAACAGCTTACATGGTTTTTATGACTATCCATTTATAAAGGTTTCACGTAGTCCAGCTATTTATACATGCTAGATGGCTAAGTGTACTATGCCAGAGTCTGAATTGTGAAATGAGCAGCACTTAATTCAGCTGTCTGCACCTAGGCAAGACTCTCTCTGGCATGAGTAATGTGAATATATTAGTGGATTCAGTGAGTCATAGACCATGCATGCCACTGCTAGAAACCAGGCCATGCTCTACTGTAAACCCTTCATCTTTTTTTAATCTCGGTGCTTATTTTAGAAACATTGCAATCAAATGGTAATCTGTGTCATGCAAAAGATGAATTGCTATACTCGGGTTTATTAGAAATGCAGGAACATTTAGACAGGCTTACCTGTTTTCCATTGTGGGTAACTGAGGAAAGAATGGTTCTTAAGGTCTTGAAGCCCATTGCAATATCCAGGAGATGAGCTGCAAAGAAGAAGTTGTTGTAGTGTCCAAGTATTGACATGGTTGTGTACCAAGCAAGGTAAAGGAAGGACTGCAAATAAAAGTGAAAACATGTGTAAATGACAACACGGCTCAACTGTACATTCACTAATGAAATGGCATCTTCAAAAACTATATTTTATCCATATGAAGACAGACACTTACATTGTCAGTAAAAACCACTCCAAGCTTCCAGATATGGTACTTCATGTCAATGGAACTCAGCCTACCAATAGAAATAAAATGTTACATTCGGTGAGATGTTTTTTTCTCCTTGATTTTCTGAAATAGTTTTTCATCTGTTTGTGTATTTTTTTTTTAAGAATCTATTGTGCTGTTCTGTATTTTGGTTGCTTATTCATATTACACTTTCATTATTGCTTTTGCTGGAATTGCTGCTATTGCTGGAACTTAAGTCTTCTTTAAAAAAAAATAGCAGATAACTTTTTATGGCAGAAGAAAATCTGTATGTATTTTGTTGTCATAAATGCTTCTTGCCTGCCTGCTAGCGTTTTTTTTCTAATTCTACACTGAGCCATTCAGTGTACACTCTTGCCATGGCATGAGGATTCCACGATTCCAGGTGCCACGAAAACACACCTTTCATAGGAATGAATAGTAATAGGTCTAACATGCACAACACTGAAACTGCACTCAGGACCGGTGCTAGGATTCTTGCCTACACAGGCAAGGTGCATTTTTGCGCGGCGCCCCCCAGACCCCCTGTAAAAACTGGGCATTTTGACAAGTACTTGTCAAAATGCCCTGTTTTTTCCGCCCTCACCCTGCAGCACCCTCAGGCGGCCGCCTGACTTGCCTTGCGGTAGCGCCGGGCCTGACTGCACTGAAGAACACATGTAGCTCAAGTTTTAACCCCAAACATTTTAGGTTTGCTAACTTTCATGGCCAATGCAATACATATACAGTTATTGTGTGTGATATCTAGTACTTGTAAAAATAAGTCACTTGAAGTCATTCAGAAGAATATTTGTATTAGATGGTTTGTATGCTGGATTAGTGTGTCAGTAGAAAATAGTGTGTTTTAGAATTACAAACATTCTTTTTGCAAAATGTGAAGGCAATATGATATTTAAAGACAAAACTAATATAGTAATGGACCATTTTCCAGTTACAAAAACTGAGATTTTTGCAGGCATCTGACCTAATGCTCAATTAGGCAAACAGTTGCTAATAATCAATTATATGTAGTTGAACCAAATATTGATGGAAACAAAAGGGCTTTGTAGGATGATAACACTTTCCTTTGAAATCAGAGTATGTCCAGCACCACTATCAGCTCAGAACTTGGAAAGTAGCTGGGACTCTGCTACACCCATCTACAAGACTGAAGAAGTCTTATTGGAAGTGGTCTTAATGAAAGAGTTGTCACCATAAGACATTCCTTTGTGATGGAAATAAAGTCAGCCCATTCACTGTGAAGAACATTGGAGGTAACTTGCAGGTTTGAGGCTAAATTTTCCTGAAAAGGAGTTTGCAATTTTAGCAAAATTGATGTCCCCCTCAAAGTTGAGGTGTACAGGCAAATTCTTTTCCTTCATACAATACCATCAGGGAAGTATCTAATCAGTCCAAAATGCAATATGCAGCATGAGATTGACCCTAAACCAAATTATAAAACACCTGCAACAGATGGTATGACCCCCACAGAATCCTGATCAATCCCATCATCGAGCCAGTCTGAGATTACTTGCAGGAACTAAGAGCAAAAGACTGCAGTAGAACTGTGCCATGTTCTCCAACAGGCTTGGAACAACTTAACCAAACGGCACGCATGTGTACAAACAATACTGCTGTATCTTTAAGGGTAGTAACACCAAATATTGAATTATTTATATATTTTTTTACTTCACTTTCTATGAAATTTTCCAATTAATAAAAACTATTCATGACATTATTTGTGAAAGCATATCCATTTAAAGCCTGCCTAAAACTAATGCACAGTGCTGTACATATCTCCTGTTTGTGGAATACATGCATCAAATTCTTAGTTAAAGGAGAACTATGGGGTTAGGGCTTTTCCCCATAGTTCTCCTAAGGGTAACGGGAGGACACAAACTAGCGTCCTCCCATCACTCAAAGCTCAGAACACCGTGAGGTACAGCTCGCGGTATATTGAGACGCCGCAGCCAGAACAGATCCCGACATTTATGTCTGGATCCACCCAGCTGCGTGAGTGACAGCTGGCTCTGCCTATCCCGCCCCCCTCTCCCGTCTGTTCCGCCAGTCAGCGCTGGAGGATCGGACAGGGGAGGGGGGAATACAGTCCCTCCCCTGTCACGTCTCTCTGCAGGGATAGATCGAGAAGTGAGCGAGCGACAGTATGTGTTCGCTCACTTCCCGATCTACTGAGCCGACCTGTGACAGTTTCATTGTCACAGGTCGGCTCAGATTATGAGGCTGAGTGAAAATCACTCACCTCATAGTTCTCCTTTAACTCAATTTTGAAAATTACTTTTAATGTTAGCATTTAGGATACTTTCTTACACGTATTCCTAATTATAAATTACTTTTGGTCTGTAAGAACATTCTGATCACTGCAGGGAGACAAAAAAAATAAAAGACACTTTAACAGATGAAAAGTTCACTTATAAATGATATGGAGATTTCTTTCTAGAATGTCACCTCAAGGTCAGCATTATGCAAAGTGTTTAAATGTGCCTGATCCCAAGGCTAATGAGTATATGGAAATGAGAAGTACATGTACATAGTAAGTTGCATTGGCAGTGACAGGAGCCAATATGTGTGAGGAGCTATGCTGACTTTCTCCACTGCACTGAACTAATGAGCGATAAGGATTTGTGTGCTAATTTGGGACAGTATTGATGCACACTATTCTGCAGCTAACATGTTAGTGGCATTTTACTACTTGTGGCAGGCATTCATAATCCTTAAAGGAAATAAATTATTTTATACACACCATGATACAAGTGATCCCGCCTCGATTTTGGTCTTTTCTACAGGGCTGAAATCCAGAGCATTTTTATCCAATCCAAGCAGTTCAGCAATTCTATCTGCTCCATATAGGTCTCCATATTTATTGATGACCTGAACAAAGAAATCAATTTCACACCATTAGAGCCCATCAGAAGGATATATTTTTCATATAGCAGTTTCACTTAGCAGACATTCCATGTAATAGTTTTGTTTAGAAGAAACCTAGTGCTTCCAGCGGATAGATGTTAAAGCCGATCTTGCAGTAAAATGTCCTCCACATTGCTGGGTGTGATGTCACTGCCCTTCCAGGAAGATTAACAGGGAATGCAGAGCAGGTAAAATCTTGCAAGATGACACTGGAGTCTATTGCAATATTTTGGCTGCTCTGTATTCACCAGGATCTCACCAAAGGAGCATAATGTCGACCTTACCTAGGTGGCGTGGATGAACGTTGGGAGTGAAGTATAAACCATTACTTTTTTATTTACAGGTACATTTTACACTTACTAATAGAAGGGGGAGGGGCCCTGGACAGTGTAAGTGCTCCTTGAATTTTACTGCAAGGTCCACTTTAACCTCTTAGGCATCACACTGCCTGCTATAATGCATGCTACCCAATATAATGTGTGTGGTGGGAGGGACATTTTTGACAGCACTTTTTCTGCATTAGTTCATTGATCTCCACAGCAGGTTGCAGGTTTCCATCAGTTATTGTTTCCATGTAAAAATATCCTCATTGTTTACTGAAGTGACAGATTTGTTGTTTGCTGTTTACAATGATAAGCAATACACTCATAATACTTTTCTAAGTACCGTACACTGAAGGACAAAGAAATGCTTTGTATCGTCTAAGAGGTATGTTGCTAAAAGTTGCCACAGGCTAAGAATATAAACCATGATCAGATACAATTATTTATGAACATATGTCCCATGTGGCACAGATCCATGTATTTGCTATAATTTCCCTGAGTGTTAAAAGAAATATAGGTTGTTTCTTTCCAATGACAAAAAAGACAAAACAATTAAAATGCAATACATCTTAGTCAACAGTGCAGAGTTGAAGCTCTAAGTGAGATAAAAGCTTATTAACGATGTTGCTATGCATTATTAGCTTAAAACACGCCACATGGAAAGACTCCAGGGATTTACTGAAGAGCCGTTCCACTAAAACTGACACCATGTTAGCCCAATAGAAATCTGAAGCACTCCAGTAAAGAGGAGAATTAAATATTTGTTGCTAGTGCAGAGCAGATACTCTAATTGCTGACATTAATTTTATTTGCACAGAGAAGACATTCATTTACACGCCTTAGCTCCGGAGTACAAACAGTTCATTAAACGGATGCATATTATGAGAGGTTTAAAAAGCATATTAATTTTTAAACAAAGTGGTAATATATATAATAAATTGCTCTCTCTGGACACAAAATATATTCTACGTTACTGGGCAGTATTTAAACACTCAAAATCATTAATTTGGTATATTTCTGGAAAATGCTTTTTTATGGAACTGTATATTGCTCACGCTCCCTGCTAAGATGTATCTTGAAACTGCATCAGGCAAAACTACTCTCCTCATGTTTAATTACCACATGATGCCTGCTGGTATATCCACACATACATAACTAATGAAGAAAGGACTTTGGTCAAACTTATTGGAACGATGGATGTTAAAGTTCAGACTTGTCTACAGAGATTACGTGGCTGGATAGAAATCTGCAGCTTTAGGGACACTGCTAATATTGCTGTCTTTCCTATGCAGTATTTTATTACTGTATTTCTGATCAGGCAGATACATTTATATGGTGGATGTGTAGCTATCCCACAAACCTTTTAAATTTTTTTTATATACATCTTTAAAAAAAACTATATTCAGTATAGATAACTTAATTGGCTTGAAATTACGCAGTGCACGGTAGCATGCAGCGCATTACCATTCATTCTTAATGGCACCCCATTGCACACCTCCACCTGCTCTATGGTGTACCACAATATACAGATGTTGATTCGGTGTGTTATGACTTGTCATCTCAGTTTATATGATCTCTCAGGCAGAGTGACCTATCAGGGGGAAAGCATCTTTACTGGTTGGGTGTTTAACACAGTATCCCAACCTGCAACTACACTCTACAATGTGGTAGGAAGATCCCGACGACATTACCTTCACTTAGGAAGAAACAGGTGCAAAGTACATGACACAAGATCTAGAGAGAATGGGTGGTGACTGACATCTATCACTGGCCTCTGGCTCTTCCTGAAGAATCCACGATGGTGGCAGCCAACAGCCCTGTGCACAGTCCCAAGCGGCAAAGTGAGCTGCACACAAATAGGCTTATTTACTAAGGAAGTTTATAATCTTTACTCAAAAAAAAGTATCCAATCATGTGCAGATGAAATAAAGATTGAAACAGAAATTTGCCTTTCACATGATTGGATAATCAAAGTGAATCTTCACTCTTTTTTGAGTAAAGATTCTCAACAGTTAGTACATCAGCCTCAGTATCTTCAAGTTACTTAGCAATTGGTGTTTCCATAGTGTGGGCAAAATGCAGTCGTTTGGTGTCCTCCAACTCTCCTATTTCATTTTCTTTTCTTAATAGGGTACTGATTTCTAAATGTCTATCATTGCATCTCTCTACCAAAATAAACTCGTCTGTTTTGACAGCCACTAGTTTTTTTCATATAGACTACAATAGTTCCCTGCCAGGAAATGACTACCCTCCCTATCTGAGATGGAATTTAACAGATTTTCATATATTATTCTGCTCTCCCGTCCATTTCTAGTGAAAGGTTGTAACATTGTGGTAAGGTCTGCAGACAACATTTCAGTACAGTAAATTCACCTAGTGCTCAGCTGGGACTTAACATCCTTTCCACAAGTCTTAATATCCATGGAAACCTAGCTGGTGGATATTATTCTCTGATTAAAATGTGGATTTGCACAGACAGCTGAAAGCACAATGCGTGGATTTTCTCAGTAAAGTACCGGGCAGGTTGATTATTGACAGCAAAGCTCCTCAGAAATATGTGGTCCTTTTACCACTGCTGTTTCATTCTAATACATTTACTGCTTTATTTCTTCCAGATTCATCACGTGTCTTATTTTACTTTATAAAACAAATGAATAAACAATCTGAATTTTGTACAAACTACTAAAGATCAACTGACACACATTCCGATTGGCAATCCTAAACATTTTACAGACACAGCAGAAACATTACAGCCTGACAAAACATTTTCTGCTTCATCTGGTGGGTACCCGGCAGATAACACCACCACATATAAGTGCAACCATCAAGCAGTCCACTGACAGGAGAATTACATTCAGATGGAAACGTGTGAATTATAAGATTGAACATTTGGTTACAAACAGAATGAGTTGTAGTTGTACTCGCTAAATTAAACATTTTGCTTAAAGTCATGTTTAAATTAAATGTTGATTCTGATCCATTTACTATAATAGACCCCAGCCTTACTGATAGTCTTGCACAGTTGTACATTCTCTTATACTAAATTGGTTTACTCTGTTTTCACTACACCCTGTAAGCTTCTCACAGTGTACATTACAACATGCAGCAAGTCAGATAGAGCCTGTCTCATTTCTTGGTTGGAGGACATGCAAAAGTCACCCACTCTTCCAGACTGATAATCTACTTATCAAACCCTGCTTTCATTAGTGCTGAGGACTATTGAAATGAGTACTGTGAACATTTTAGGAAGCTATCGACAGCACCCTGTCGTCTCATCCCACCAGTCATGATTTGCCTGCATTGCATAAAGAAGCACCTAATGATGTCAGTAGCAAACATACCTCCATAGTCACTGATATGGCTGCTATGGGGCCCAGGGCAGAGGGGGGCTGGTCAGGAGGGGTTAGGTTTCTCTCTGTGTCCTTCTGCTCACCATTTAGTGACTTGCGCCACAGGGTGCTTCTGCTCTATCCCTCCCTTGCCTCTTCCCCTGTCAGTGTGCTTAAGTCAGGGGCGGACTGGGCCGGGGAGCAGGGTGGCAATTGCCCCCCGGGCCTCTCCGGTGTCGTCACGAACGGCCCCCGTGACCCCCGCTGCCACCTGCCTGCCCGCCCGCATCCGATGCGACTCTGTGATCGGCGCCGCTCGGTCCTCAACGGGGTCCTCGAGAGGCCCCAGCGGATCTCCTCAATCCGGAGACTGTCCCCAGAAATTGGGGATGAATGTAGGGCTGCAACAACTAAACAACTAAGTCGATTATAATCGATGATTGAAAAAGTGGTCAACGTTTTCAATCATTGATTAATCAGCTTTTGATTAGTTGGCCCTGTTCACAGCTCCACACTCGCTGCGCGCCGCACCTCCTCCCTGCCTCACACTTGCCGCTGCCAGACCCGCCAGCCTGTATCCACGCTCCACATGCCGCACCTCCTCCCCGCCTCTCGCTTGCTGCTGCCAGACCCGCCAGCCTGTATCCACGCTCCACATGCCGCACCTCCTCCCCGCCTCTCGCTTGCTGCTGCCAGACCCGCCAGCCTGTATCCACGCTCCACATGCCGCACCTCCTCCCCGCCTCTCGCTTGCTGCTGCCAGACCCGCCAGCCTGTATCCACGCTCCACATGCCGCACCTCCTCCCCGCCTCTCGCTTGCTGCTGCCAGACCCGCCAGCCTGTATCCACGCTCCACATGCCGCACCTCCTCCCCGCCTCACGCTTGCCACTGCCAGCCCCGCCAGCCCGTATCCACGCTTCACACGCTGCACCTCCTTACCGCCCGCCCACATCCACGATCAGCACAGCGACGCGGGGAGAAGAAGAAGTAAGGAGGAGCAGGCGTGAGGGGATGACAGCCGCTGACAGACAGGCCCGATCTCAGAAGCAAGTTGCTGGAAGACGGCTCAGGTAAGCCTGCACTTTCCCACACATGGTGCTCTATAATGTATTGCTGGGATAGTGGGATTTGTAGTCCTCTATAGCTGATGGTAGATTGCGCTGTACTGTATATTATACAGAGCAATATACCATCAGCTATAGAGGAATACAAATCCCAGCAATACATTATACACTGTATGTATAATGTATTGCTGAGATTTGTTGTATCCCTCTATAGCTGGTGGTATTCTGCATTGCGCTGTATAGGGGACTACAAAACCCAGCATTACATTATACAGCGCAATGCAGAATACCGCCAGCTGTATTGTACTATTGCTGGGATTTGTTGTATTCCTCTATAGCCGGTGGTATTCTGCATTGTGCTGTATAATGTACTATTGCTGGGACTTGTAGTCCTCTATAGCCGGTGCCATTTTGCATTGATTGCTGTATAACTTTACACTTTCCATTTCACTATATTGCACACCACACTTTTTTTTATTTCCACCACTCCAAGCTTGCTCCCATGATGGACTGCAATCTCAATACAAACTAGTAGTCCATCACTGGAGCCATTTAAAAAAAAAATCAGATTAATCGAACTTAATCAAATAATCGGCTAACTAATAAATTTAGAAAATAATCGTTAGATGCAGCTCTAGATGAATGGTCACCCTACACCAGGGATCCCTCACTATCCACCAGGGATCCCCCACTAACCACCAGGGTTCCCTCACTGAACTCCAGGGATCCCCCACTAACCACCAGGGATTCCCTACTAACCACCAGGGATCCCCCACTAACCACCAAGGAGCTACCACAAAGCCCCCACTAATTATTAGGGAGCCCCCACTGGCCACCACAGATACCAGCAGAGCCCGCACTGACCACCTGACAGTCCGCATTGGCCACTGAGAGCCTATTTGGGGAGCCACCTTTGCTGCGCGCACCCGTGAAACTCTCTGGACCCCTGGTGAGAGCCTGCACAACCCTCCTGAGACCCTGGAGACATCAGGCTGAGAACCCAGAGCAACAGAGTGTGTAGCTTCATATTATTCTGCATTGCTGTAATATGCATTGCTGGAATTTGTAGTCCTCTATAGCTGATGCTGTTCTGCATTGCTGTATAATGGTATTGCTGGTAATTGTAGTTCTCTATTGCCAATGCCATTCTTCATTGCTGTACAATGTATTTCTGAGATTTATAGTCCTCTATAGCTGGTGGTATTATTCTGCATTGCTGTATAATGTGCTAAGATTTGTAGTCCCTCTACAGCTTGGAATTAGTGGCAGAACTACCAGGGTCGCAGCAGTTGTACATGCGCACAGCACTGACGAGGCATCCCTCCACTACCAGTGTGCTTTAATTTTCCTCAACCGATAAATTTCTCAACCGCGTCACTTCCAGGTGCGCATGTCATGAAGAAAGGGGGTCATGAAAACAGCTGATTCGGATGACGCGGCCCCACTGGAAGTGACACAGTCGAGAAAATATATAGGATCGATAAAAATTATAGAAGACTGACTTTGACACTGTCCGGCCCCTCCCACTAACTGTTCACAGCCCAGAAGCATGGACAGCCAGCGGCGGTCTACAGTGGGCGAGAGTGCCTAAGTAGTGGACATGGAGCGGAGTAAGGCCAGAACCATGTAGGGAGCACAGTGGGAGGAGAGCACCATCCCCCAGTCTGTCACCCCCTTCATGGACTTACTAGGAGTCCTCACATCTCCCGACCATTCACACTACCGTTGCACAGAAGGCAAAAGTGGCAGACGGGCGGGGAGAAGGCGGGGGAGGAGGCAGAGCGGGTGGGGGGCTAGGTTGCTGCACCATGGGCCTCTGGGTTGTACTTGCCCCCTGGGCTAAAAGCTGCCAGTCAGCCCCTGGCTTAAGTTAAGCAGAGTGATGTCCTCACCACGTTTGCCTTATGGTTCCAGCTTTGACTTCAGAGCCAGAAGGCGTAGAGAAGACACAAGAAGCCTGGCTGTGCTACCAAATATTGTATGCTGGGGACAGTGAGGGGGTTATAATCTTTAAAACTGCCATGCCATTGAAGCTGGCGAAATAAGGATTATATTTACACAATGTTATAAATTATACCCCTGGATTTAGTATACAGTAGGTATGCATTGTGCACCTCCCCCCAGCATATAGTAATTAGTGGCAAGTTGCCCCCCAGATTCACTGTAGGTATGCACTGTGCACAAACCCCCCACTGTTCCCCGCATACGGTTTGGACGTTCGTGGGCTTCGAAGGGGGATTTTGTGCACAATGCATACCTACACTAAATCTGGGGGGCAACTTGCCATTAATTACTGTATGGTCGGTGGCCTAGGGGGGAGGTGCACAATGCATACCTTTACTGAATCTTGGGGGGTTTAATAGTTAACACTGCTATCTTTACAAAGATTCATTGGTGGCAATGTTAAAGTAGAAGAAATTGGTATTTGCTGCATACAATTTCAAACAAATCTCATTGGAAATACCTTTTGTTAATCTTTTTTTCAGGTGATCCCGTGACCACAAAGCTCCGGCAAGCTTGTCTGTCTGCACAGCTGGTAAGCAGTAACTCTTTCAGGACCAACGATGCCTTAGAGCTATGGACGCTGGAGGAATAATGTCACTGCCCTAAGGAGTCAGCAGCATTCTGAGCTTCGTGACCATGTGAGCACATGAAAAAAGATTTTAAAACGTATTTCCATTGACATTTATTAAAAAATGTATGCAGCAAATATAAGAGCAATGGGACGACTATGTTATTGGGTGTTTTTTAAATTGCGTTTTGTTTTTTGCTTGTTCGGGTAGGGGGTCACATCAAAATTTTGCTATGGGACCCTGTAATTTCTAGTTAGGTCCTTGATGATGAAACAAGTCAAGGTATGTAATGAAAGCAGGAAGGTTTTGTTTGAAAAGGTAATTAGTATCCTGGTGGGGGGTGGGGGCAGGGAAGATATTAAACTGCAGCTTTAAACACTGAATTTAAGTTAACTATTTAAACAAATAATATATATATCATATGACATACACAGACATGATACAGACAGGACAGAAAGTGCTTACCTTCCTCTTAACAAATTTATCCCAATAATTATTAGGGAAAGACCTACAAACAGAATAATAAAATGTCACATTATTCAAATCACCCGCAGCATTATAATAAGCATAAAATAGATTCACGTGTTCTGCATTGCATGACAAAAGAAGAGCCATCGCTTCAGTCTACAGCTAATGAGGGACTGAGGGATTAGGTTTGGTGTCTTTTTCTCCTATGCTAACTGCTTGCAGTATTTTCTATACAAACTCTTAAAGTAATCTTCATCATCACAAAAAGCTAAAAAAAAGAATATAGTGAGGGGAATGTATCAAAACTGGAGCAGACAAAATCTGGAGCAGCTGTGCATGGCAACCAATCAGCATCCACCTTTCATTTTCAAATCTTAACATAACAAACTGAAGAGAGATGCTGATTGGTTGCCATAGGCAATTTCTCCAGATTTCGTCTGCTCCAGTTTCGATAACTCCCCCCCCAGTAGGTCTTGTGGTAACAGGACTAATCATGGAACAATTTGCATGCATTCCAAAGATGGGACAAGTTAAAGATGCAGCCAAGGCAAATGTTGTAAAGAGTGCTCCCCTATATCGTGTGTGCTCTCCTAATTAGGTTAAAAGCAAACAAAATAATAGACATAAATGAATAGAATGTAGTAGCATTTCCGATAAGTGCAATGGAAAATAATAGTGCAATAGTGAAGTGACAGAAAAGTAAGAGCTTCTAGTTGTCATCAGTCTCTGATTTCTACTTCTTGGGGCCTGCAGTTACATCTCAGTTTCAGCTTGAAATGCTTAAGATATGATAAGTATACGTCATGTATTTTCTTTAAGCAAGAACCAAATAAATGTTAAGCTGCTGTATTGTCCCATATTTACCACACTAATTCCTAAGTCCAGACCCTCCCCTGGTGGCAAGACATAGAGGGCTATTCAAAGGATCTAGCCGTAGCTACGGCTGATCCTTCAGTAGAACCGAAGGGCTGCTGTACGGGCTATTCACTATAGCCCTTACAGATCCCAAAGTTGGCCGAGTGGCTCGGTCGAGCCGAAGGCATATGCTTCGGCTCGACTGAGTCCAGGTGAAAGCCGAAACGGGCCGAAAGCCTGCTACTGACAGCTGGGCGGAGCCAGCCGTCATCTCATGCTGGCTGGCTCCAGCTGTTGGAGACCTCGGAAATGCAATAGTTACTAACAGCACTTGAGATTGATTTCCTGGAACTGAACGACAGAGCCATAGTGCAGACACAACAGAACAAGGAAATCTAATATGTTGCAATTAAACTGAATGAACAATGCCACACATACAATTCCATTTTACTGGCAAATGCCAATGACACAGCAGGCTAGGTAACTCCCGGCATTGCCAGTTATCACCGGCAACTTGCAATGAGAGATCAGCGTCCTCTGGTTACCAGGTAACCAGGGGACGCTGAACTGTCATTACAATGAGAGTTTAGCGGAGCCGGCTTTGATATCACCGCCGGCTCTGCTAAGCTCTCATTGTAATGACAGCTAGTCCTGGCCAATAGAAAACAGTTGGGCGGAGCTAGCTGTAACTGCTAGCTCTGCCCAATCGGTTTCTATTTTTTTTCTACTTTTTTTTTCTATTCTGCTCGGTACCACACAAGTACCGAGCAGAATAGCCGCCCCGAGTGCCGCTCAGCGGCATTCGGCTATTCACTCACTTCTGTTCCGCCCCTATGAGAATAGGCCGAACAGCAGCGAAATAGCCTGCCGGAGGTTCGGCTCAGCCGATCCAAATGTTAAACTCCTTCTGCACTTCGGGTCGGCCAAACATGCTGAGCATGTTCAGCCGACCCGAACCCAGCAGCAACAAGTCAATGTACGGTTGAAATCAGCCGTACAAGCCTGAAGTGAATAGCCGAACAGCGTTCGGCTCACTTCACTTCGGGTCGGTTATTCACAGGGCTGCCTTCAGCAGCTTTGTGAATCACCCTCATAAACTCACTATCTGATTAAGCTCTGATTTGCAATATACCAATTCTAGCAGCATGAAGCTATGTACCAATTCACTGCCCAAGGAGTATGCAGCACCTGAGTCAGAGTAGGGCTTCTTTTTAATTTATTTATTTTTACAGAAAACAGAGAAAACTGAACACATCAGAACAGTGTTCAGGGATAGAAAACCAACAGTTATCCCCAACTTTAACATACAGACACAATGTCCATTACAGTATAGCATAAGTACCACAAGGTGACTCACAATAAAAGATACTCATCATAGCTAGGGTCCAATGTTCAAAGGAAACAGGAGACCTTGATATATAATATAAAACTCCGAACAATAAAGTGATTACAACTGCAAGGGACTGCTTTTTTCTAAGACTTTGCATGCTGGTACTTTGCTTCATGGCAAAGTCCTTTTAAGGATATTATTAACCAAAGAATATATCTGCAGATTTAACCAGATTACAGTAAAGCCTCGCAAAGATGTCCAATTTAAATTGAACATATAATTAAAAAATTAATAAGCAGCCGCTAGTTTCAGTAAAAACCATATGTCAGACTGTAGATCCTAAGAGATAGGCAGCTAAAGTCATGTGCAGATATAGACCTTTCCGTGCTTCCTTCTACCTCCCAAGTACCCTTACTGGTCAGGGAGATCAACCCATCATATAAAAGGACCAGTAACGAGGCTTAGCAGGGAGGAGAGTGTGGGTCTAAACTAGAATTTTACAGGGAAAAGGAAGATCTGTATGTCATTTTAGCAGCCTGTATGTCTGAATCTGCTGAAGATTGTCTCCTCTTTAGGTATCAAGGTCTTGAATTTCCTCTTACCTTGGATGGACTTTCATTTTCTCTCATTCCCATATTACCACTTAAACTATTGTTTTGGTGTACAAAAACAGGCCTTTTGTCTGTAAAATCTATTTCATGAACTATATCACATGACACAGGTAGTTCATTCTGGAACCAATGGATTATGCAGCTACCTTCAGATGGTGAATCAAAGGTAAGGGCAGCCTTGTATAACCCCTCCCACTACCAACCTGCCTCAGTTTTGTAGCGAGCAGTACCAGAGTGCATAATAGAAAACAGAGGGGAGGGTTTCTGTGTTCTGTGATAAACTCCAGGAAATGGATTTTACAGGTGAGACAAAAATCCTATTTTCTTGATCTGGCATCACAAGACACGGAGTGATTTTTGAGACGAATGAGATGTCTAAAAGCAGTCCAAGCAGTAGGCAACACAGCAATAATGCCTAACAGGCCAGATAAATATATAAACCCCAACAAGGAACTATAACAGAAGTGGCCCACAATTCAGATGGTCCCCTGGCGAACTTAGTGACCAAAATGGCTTCTGCTGATGCCTGAAGGTCCACCTGGTAGAACTTGACAAAAGTGTAAACTGAGGACTGGGTGGCAGCCTGGCAGATTTGGGATACCGAAGCCTGATACTGAAACTCCCAAGAAGTGTTAGGCACTTCATTAGAGTTTGCCTTGACTGGAAAGGGGGATCTTTCTTTACCCTTCAGTTCATAGGCCTGAGCGATAGTTTGCCAAATCCATCTAGTGATAGTGGAACAAGAAGCCAGTTGCCCCCTGTGGGGGACCCTTAGGAATTCTGAAGAGGGAGTCAGACTTGCGAATTAAAGTTGGAAGACCTTTGGCAAAGTCAATACCAATGGCTCTAAATGCAAACAAGTATAAACTGCACATACAAGGACAAAAACAGTGTCCTTGGGCTTAGGAGAGATGTCTGGAGTCAGGTCCTCTTCCTGGACTGAGTCCACAGAAAGGTACAAGCCCATTCTTCTTCATAAGTGAGTGCAAAGGCAGACAGAGGGAGATCAGAAGGGAGACACAGAGGGAAGGTGAGGGGGCCCACATATGAACCATGTAGTCTGGTTTCAAAGAGGTCAGATATTTTCCCTTATAAAGTCAGCAATTACTAAAACTCCTCTCTAGATAGAAGTAGAGGAGGCACCTTGAGGGTATAGAGGAGGTTCCTGAGGCAGAAAGCAGTGGGGAGAAGGAGCAGAGCATAGAAATGGCAGAAAGAGTGACACCAGAGGCTATAGAATATTTAACAGAACCATTGTCAGGCTGTGCAGCCATAGAGCCTATGGCCCATACATCCCTGCATCTATGATCTGCCATGTGCTGGGGGTAGGCTCCAAAGGTAGTCACAAAGTGCGGAGGTCGAAGGATGCCCTGTGTCCACAAACAGGCAGGCAGAATGGTGACCCAATGCGTAGAGTGTGTGGTGGTGCAGAGTACCCCCCGTGCTGTGTCTGTGCAGAGTTGCAGCAACAGAAGCACAGTACGGTACCCTGAGGGAGGCTACACAGGTGCAGAAATGGCTCCTAGGCCATAAAGGAGACAGAAAAAGGCACCAAATTTGCAGACCCAACTGCCTAATACAGTGCCCCATATTAACCTCCCAGAGATCAGTGCAAAATGCACTGGGCACATTGCTGGGGGGAGCCATTTAAATGGACATCATAACTGCTTGAACACAGTGCTCCTAATTAAAATATTGTCAACATAAAAACTACCTTAATAAAATCAGAAAATCCTTCTGGATGTGCAATACCAATAAAAATATGAAATATATAAACAACCAAAATAGTGATATACTATTAAGTGCCAAAAAAAGTTGATCTTTTAAAAAAATGAGTGCTGTCCTCTGACCTCTGTACACATGTAGAGATCTGAGAGTGGGAGTGGTTAAGTTGTTTAGCAAAAGATACTTGGAGGGCTGTGTGTTGTCAGCCCACAACAGGACTTAGGAGCCAATTGCAATTCTAATAGATCAACAGGTATTTTTTTGTAAACACTGTTTCACCACAAACAGAATTAATCATAGAGAATTTCAATGATTAAGCCTGTTTGTGGGGATATATGTTAGAGTGGAGCAGACCTTGAGAGGGACTGAACGGTTACTGGTTGGGGTTGTTTTTATTGGAGTTATGGCATCAGAATGCAGCTCTTTGGGACTTACAGTATATAGAGCTGGTATTTCACAGCTGCAGTCTCCGACACTGGCTCTAAGTATTGGGAAAGGTATATTTTACTCTCCCAATACATCTCCTTTAGGATAATGCATTAGGATAGGGCTGCATAAGCCTTTCCAATTTGCCACCTGGAAGTTTAAGGTATTCCAGTCATCCTTTTTTAACTGTGGTTAAGCTTGTCCAACTGAGGACAACAAAATGTGAAGTATAAAAGAATTCAGAATTCATAACATTATAACATATAGGTTATACTTAATAAGACGAATATCAAGTGTTGATACATTTTGGTTTTATTAAAAAGCACTGTTTGCCAGGAGACAATAATGCTGAACTCCAGGAAAACATCTAAATACACAAATAAAAGGGAGCTGTTTTTGCCAAATAATGTGACTTTGTCAGTTCAGCCCGGAGATGTACTTAACCCTGTCACAGCACATCCAGAAGAATGACCCAAATTTGTCTGGTATGGTTAAGTGGTATCAACTCGCTACCCTCAGTCTGCTGACTGGGCAGTGAAGGAGCAGCAGCAGAGTCATAAGCTCATCCCTTTGCTCACTTTTCTCAATCCTATTATCAGCATCCTGTCTTTTTCTCAGAGCAAGGGACAGAAACAGGAACAAGCATGCAGGTCAGAAAAGTCAAAGTGAAGTAATAACATCCAATCTGCCACTTATTTCTAGGATTTTCAGAAGGATGGGTCAGCAATGGCAGCCTCCACTAATTCGGAGTACAGGCTTCTTTAAGACCTACATGGTGCAAGTATATAATTATTTCCCCTTGCCTTAAAAGCAGTACATAGGATGGCCCAAGCTCTCAACTGCCCAGGGTAAAAAAAAGCACTTAAATGAATAAAGAATGAATATGTACAATAAGTGAATACAGTGAGCACAACTAATGAATAAAATATGACTTGGCGATAATGGACCAAAGCAACTGCATTACATCAGTAATCAAAGTGTGGGTTAGTGCAAGAAATAACCCAGTTGTAAAACATGAAACACACTATGTTGACGTACATAGGAAAATTGTAGTTTTCTAAGAATACATACTTAAGGGCTAATTGCTGCTACATTATAAATATTCAAAATTTGTCAGAAAGCTCTTTCTCAGTCATGGGTCCTGCAACTGCAAACCCAAAACACACAGGTAAAAACATCCAAGAATAGCTAAGAACAAAACAGTGGCCTATTCTGAAATTTCCTTCTATGTGCTCTGATTTGACATACATAAGCCAAAATAATTTATTGCATAGCAGAAAGGTAGACATATATAAACCATAGAATGATGATAACACTGTATGCAAGTCAGAATATTAGTGTGTCTTACGGAGTATTGATGACAAGGCGATCCCATTGTCCTTTAATGTCATCATCTGAGGGCTGCTCTGTGATATATAGTCCATCAAACTCTACATTACGAGCAATTTCCTTCTCACGTTTAAATACCACCAGAGGAACCTTTTGGAAAATAATGGAAGAAATGTGTTATTAAACATCTTTCTTTCTGGTATTATCAATTCACATCCTTGTTCAGGATCTGGCGAAAAGTACAATGAATCATTCTATTACAATTGTAATTTTCTAGAAGAATTTGCACAGTGGCGTCCCTTGCTCTTATTGTAATATTACATCAAGTAAAAAGAGTGATAATAAAATAAGTCCCATATCTATTACACACCCAGATTTAATTTACTTTTTATGTTAAATATCTATGAACTTGTTATTCATGTTTGTAAATAAAGAGAAGATAATCATCAACTCTATTTATTGTGCTTGTTGCAGATTATAAGCTTTTGTAGCCATCCATGTCATCTAGGTCTTCCGTTTTAATTTTAGTCACCGCCATTTTATATATAAGATGATAATGAAGACTGCCTCTAGTCAATGTGAGGTTTTTTTTTTCTGTATCATCTGCAGAGAGACCCCTTAACCTCTTTATGGACTAAAGTATTTTGTGTTACTAAAGCTATGGAGTTCAGCCAAATGAGGTGTGGTATACATTTCCATATGAAAAGGTATATCACAAAGATGCAAGTATGCAGCAGGGGGTGAGAGAGATGTGTGTGGCACCACACCCCTACAAAATTATTACACAGACCCACACCCCTACAAGAAGCTTAATCCCAAAATGCGTCAAGACTTTTCCGATACAAGATCAAATGGAAAAGGACTGTACCTATCCTTAACTTTTAAGTACTTGTGGAATTCACAATAAGTGAGTATATATATGTATATATATATATCTTTTTACATTTTGATAATGTTTTAATATGTATAAATAAAAGCTTGTATTATTATTTAAGACATGAATCTGTAGACTTTTTGGCATCTTTAAAGCCCCATTCTTTGGTGTTAGGCTTTGTATGAAAAGGTATAATTTGTGTTGAGCCTAAATACAGGCTATGTTGTTATTCCCATGTTGGAAGTACATAAACTCTGCTTTAGACCTAACCTAATCTGATTTCAAACCTCTTTGTGATAAGCCTGAGTTATCTAACAGTGTGTGTGTGTGTGTTTGTGGGTGTGCAAAATCTAAGGAGTATTATAGCTGATATACACTAGGTTTGTGGTATACATCCAGAGTTTTACTAGAATGTTGTTATGCAGAGTATGAAAAAACGTTAAGTTTTACATAAAAAACATTTATTTGTCCTATGATGAGAGATTGGAAGAATAAGGGTCGCAAAGTATGTCCTCATTGGCAATAGTACAAAGTTAACTATTTTTTATAATGTTTGTGATTAGGAATTAGTCAGATCAAGCTGTACAATGTTGTTTCAGTCAGTGATGTAGATAAAACATTTGTGCCCTGGCGCAAACTGTCATTCAGAGCCCCACGACATATTTTCAGTGTTACCTTTAGACAGTAATATCCAATAACACAGACGAAAGAAATGATGGTGTGAATAACAGCCAGGATACGTAGTGTTGGAGCCATGTAGCCAGTGGATTCTTGTAGAACAAAGTAAACGGCTCCCTCCTCTGCTTCCTCATCTTCCTGATATGGGTTCCATAGGTTTTGTTCATTATCTGTGTCATCGCTGACAGGATCCTCAGTTACCTAAGAACACAGAGAAAACTAATGATACTAAGTAATATTTGACTGAGCACTACCGGAATACGTTTTGAAGTGCTGTAAAAGTAAAGCAAACTGCTTTAAATTTATATGTAACTGCTATATGTTAAGGTTAATGTAGCAATGACATTATTTACATTTTCAGCATCCTAACTGGCTTTAGTTCCTATTAAATTTTCTTTTTCATACTTCATATGACATCGTTTATTTCCTGAGACACCAGTCCACGGCCAGTACCAACTTCAGTATTTGGAAACTACAAAAATGTTCTTTTTTTTTTTCTCTCTGTTTAACCTTTCTACCACATAGACAGGCAGCAAAGCGACATAATGAGCAGCGCATGAGCTGACGGAGAAAGAATAAAGCACAACTGAGCTTCAGTGTGATATTGACGATGAAAGCTTGTCTTGAGAAGAGACACTGAGATGTCTGCCTTTATAGAAGTCTTTTCTCAGTAGAGGACAATAGAATAAGAAATGTGAGAAAAAAGATTCTGTTCTTAAAGCACTTTGACTGAAGACCACTCTACAGCAAAGAGAGAGGGTATCAATATAAAAGGCATTACCTTGTAGAACAATAAAATGAAGTTAATGGCGAATGCAACAAACAGAGCAAGGAATCGTAGATTATAGAAATTTCTTGCCAGATAATTCTGAAAGGAAAGAGAATAAAAAGGATTAAAGGATATAAGACATGTCTTGGATCCATATTTAGCTTTAAAGTATTCTACGTGTTTTTACTGTGCTCTCTTAGGGACAGCAGATTTTTTTTCCCGAGGTCATTTAGTTGGAAGCTAAGTGATTGTAAGTTTTTTTCTGAAAAGTTAAGCTGAAATATTCACTTTGATTAAAAAGATTGTTACCAAGATAGACATAGTTCACTTAAAATCAGATGGCACGTTTTTCAAATGTACATAAAGACTATGAAAATAGGTGGCACAAAGGAGATGACCAATGAGAGGTATAGCACTGCACAATTTAAAAGAATTGTGCATCATGAGTATTTACTTTCCTAACACCTGGCAGATGTTAGGGAATATTAGAAAAACAAATGGAGGGCTACTGACCTAAAAAACTCATCATTCCAACTAAATTCTATTTAAGCAAAAATCAGAAAATCAATCATTCAATCATTCTTCCTAATTGACAGGGCAGAAAATAATTCTAGATTCTAAAAGAGTTTACTGTTTCATGTTATTTTTCCAAGAATTTTTTATAATGTGTATACATGTTTGGAATCGAGTGGCCAACCATTACACAGACACCATATTTTATATGTGTTTTTATTTTTAATAATGGATTGCTCTGTTCTTTTTAGAGTATACATCAGAGTATTCTCTCTGAACATACATACATTTATAAATTTTTATTTAGGTTTTAGCCTTTTAAATATTAACTATACAATTGCCACCGGAAAGATCTTACTAGCGTTTTGGTTTGGTAGATCTCCAATCCTGCCAGAAAATTTGCCATAAATGCTTCAGATTCCTCTTTTTTCTGTCCACGTCTTTTCTTGCTTCTCGTTTCTGCTTTGCTTTCCAAGAATTCAGACTGTTCCTCAGCTTTAGCTTTGTCCTTTTTCTCACCATCTTCCATACTGCAATTGAAAGTGGTTTTTGATAGCAAACAAGTTATACTGCATTAATGACAGACATAGTCACTCCCAACAACCTTGGAATATGTGGTCAGCTTAGCATAGTGAGTCACTAAGGTAAGTAGGGCTGTATTTGTTATCTCTAAATAGGAACTGTTAAGTGCCATTTGGGAAGGTAGTAATCATTTCTATATGCTGAACACAAAGAATATAAACCCATACACAAGGATGGCTATAACATTATTATTTACAGTTAAACCCCAAAAAAGTTGCTAGGTGGTGTTATGTGTTGCTTTTGAATGTTTCCTCTGCCAGTTTTTTTACACTGTCTGCACCACAAAAAAAGAGAACCATGTATGTATGTATGTATATATGTATGCATATTTTAAAGTGGCCCCAAAATCAAATATTAACTTAACATGAACCCGTACTTTGCCCACATGGCAAAAAAGGTAAAAGCCCACGAAAATTAAGTGGCAAAAAAAAACTCAACTGAAGTCAAAAGTTGATGTCAGAAATTAGATGAGCCTTGCATGTTAAGGCTACATGGGGTGGCACATCTCAAGAGGTGTATGGAGAGAACAACTAAGAATCCAGTGCCCGTTATCATGCATTTTAACACTTTTTAAATGCATATCTATTTATTACAAGTATTTATATAGTGCCGATAATTTATGCAGCACTTTACATACTGTACATTCACATCAGTTCCTGCCCTCAAGGAGCTTCTTACAATTTAAGGTCCCTATCTCACATGCATACGTACACAGATACGTACACACACACACACATACTAGGGCTGCCTTAGATAGGAGCCAATTAACCTACCAGCATGTCTTTGAAGTACGGGAGGAAACCATAGTACCTGGAAGAATACCATGCTAGACCAGGGTGAACACGGAAACACTATTCAGATAGTTTCCTGGCTGGGATTGGAACTGGTGACCCCAGTGCTACAAAGCAAAAGTACTAAGCTACCCAATATCAGGGGCCCTGCACCTTGATTTTTTTTTTATGTACTGCAACACAGTGCAAATATTCAGGCCCGGCGCTACCGCAAGTGGGGGGGGGGCGCAAAAATGCACATTGCCTGTGTAGGCAAGAATCCTAGCACAGGCACTGCAAATATTTGAAAGGACAAAAGTATTAAAAATACTATTTGTTTTATGCAAGTGCTTTCTCATGCCCTATAATAGGCTAAAACTCTAGGGTAACTTGGACAATCATCAATAACTGAGTATATGCAGCTTACTTCTACAAATGGTTTTCAGCACTACTGTATTGTTAAACAAGAGAGGCAGACTTTTCAGAGAACTTACTCGGCCTTCTCAGATTCAGCTTTAGAGTTGTCTTCATGTTCTTTAGCAATTTCTTTAGCTATTTCTGCTTCCTGCAATGACAAAGTAAAAATCTTAATGTAGGAAAATTTAGGTTATTTTATGACCACAAAAAGAAATACATTAACATGGTTATCGGTGCATGTTCAAGATCCTTACTTAGGTCCTGCAGACTAAAGCAGTTTTGCAGCAAAATTAATTATTTGAAACAAGATTTTAATAGTGATAACAGAAACCCTTTTCACTGTTCTTCCCTCCAGGAGTTTCTGGAGAAGCAGGTTTCTGAATAGTCCACAAAAATTGCCACACAAACCAAGATGGCTGCCACATCATGTGACCTTTGACCTTTATATTGCAATAAGCTCTGCTGAGCATAGGGCTCTACCATTGTGCAAAGTTTCAGGAGTTTTTGACTAACATTACACTTATTACAGGCGTTTGAAAAAAGTGGCGGAATAATAATAATGATAATAATAATTAAAAAATAATAACAATTATAATAAATATAGCTGCAAGCAGCAATAAAGGTGGCCAAGCATTAAAGCCTGGTTATAGCACATGAAAAGATATTGTAGGAAGAGAGATAAATAGCAGGACAGGGTTTGATGAATTATAATTTTTTCCAAATTCAAAATTGGTGACATTTGGAACCCATATTGTATTTGGCAGTTATGATTTTGAGTTATCCTATGTTTACCAAGTTTAACATACTGCAATAGTGATATAAATGCACGTGCATGCAATTTGCAGCAATTTAAAAAGTGATTGGCTTGTGGCGGCCATATTGATTTTGGGATCAGACATGTTTTTACAACCGTTGTACAAGATCCTTGCTTACTTTGGTCCTGCAGACTAAATCAGTTTTGCAGCTAAATTAATTATTTGAAACAAGATTTTTTAGTAATAACAAATACCCTTTTCACTTTTCTTCCCTCCAGTACTTTCATTTACGCTTTTACTTAATGATAATGTCTATTCTTAGAATTGTGTAAAGCTCGACACAGTAAAATTTGATACCGGAGTAATGGTGTCAAGACAGCCAGTTACACCAGGACACATGCAAAATATGTTGCCTAGTAATAATGCCTGTAACCAACTGAAAGATGTTGTAAAGTCTGAAATATGTCATTCTGTATAATCCCTCAACATCATGCTGCAGATTGTCCCAAGCTCTCATCTATCCTGGCAATCATCCTTTCAGTTTTCCTGACAATGATACCTGGATCTCCAGGACATCCAGCCAAATACACTGTAGGCTTCATTCACTTGCACGGTAAAAAGAAAGAATATGTTCTGTACTGTGTAACAACTTTTGACTCAACTACAAGAAATTGTAGAACGCTAAAGGTGTGCACCCTTTTCAGCTGGATCCAGTAATTTACAAACAGACCTGCAATAATAGGGAAGATATCTTTTCCTCTGTAGCTCTGGCACACCTCTGCTTATAGACAGCACTAAAGGGTCCAGCTTTGAAATCACCAGGCACTTTTCACAATGTATAGACATTCTAACTTGCTTTAAGAATATAGCTGACCATAGGTAGGCAACAACAAACAATGGCTCGTGGACATCTGTCATTTTTCCTACATATCACACAAAGAAAGGATGGTTTCCTTACTGATGATAAATGGAAACATCTCTATGTGGTGACACATACTTTTTCATGCTGGAGCATAGTAAAAATCAGCCCTTTGATTTGGATTCATATTACAAAAAGCACCTCAATCTCCCAATGTACATATACAGTACAACACAAAAATGTGTTAAAAAATAAATAAAAAATGCATTATGAGACCAAAAATGCTTCAGAGTTCTAAAGAATATGTATCCCATTCACATCAGAACCCTACTTCCTAAAGTGCTTTGAGTTTCAATATTTCTATAGAATTCGCACAGAAAATTTCCCAGCTTTTTGGGAGGAATCATCAGCTTTTGAAGAAAACCTACTTCAGAAGATCACACAAACACAATACAGTTAGTGCACCTAGTGTGAAATACTGTAAACCCAGAACTCATACAATGCACTTAGCTTTATGCTGTCTACAAGTTTTACTCTAACATATTAAATTACAACAGCTTGTAATACTGTACATGTGAAATAGCACCAGTGAGGATGGTCTGAAAATGTTCTTATACAATACCTATTTAAAACTAGAAAAAAGGATATATTTTTCCACTGCCTTTAAGAATGGCTCCTCAACTTCAGAAGTAATAGATTTCCAGGTGTTCTGCCTCTTCTACCACAGCAGCAGATTCTTAATCTGCCTAACAGTGGCTTCAGTAGCCCATTGAAAGCTAACGTTGTGTCGGATTCACTAAACAGTGCCGTGGAGCCTCATCAATATGCCGGTGTTACTCTTTTAGTCATCAACAGCAGGAAGAATGCTGAACCAGACGGGTAGGTCTGCTAGGAACTAGGTAAGTGTCCTCCTTATTCCCTGGGTTTGAAAATCTATCAATCACTTAGACTTGTGTTCTGTTACTTTGCAGATTGTTTTCTCTTTCTCCCTCTACCTTGCCCATCTGCTTCCTCAATTCAACTTTCTTCTTCCTCTTTCTGACTAGCACCAGGGTTCCCTGAGACCTTGAAACTTGTCTTAAGGGTTCCTCAAGCAAAACAAGGTTGAGAAAGACTGGTATAATGTTTAACCAAATGCTTGTTTTCATTTTCTGAACAACCCTAGAAAAAAATGTGACTTAAATAATTGGTTGCTGTGAGCGATAAATTCAGGTTGTTTCTCTCATTTTTATATCGAACATTAATTGTATTTTCAATTATCTGCACATTTCATGCATATTTAAGTCTGGCAAAATTATATTTAGAGTCTGCTTATGTTTGTGTGAATTAAAAAAGGAAATTTCAGGCAAATATTACATAAAAACTGTAATCTAATTTATGTATTTTTAAGAGCAGTTAGTACAAATACATAAAATGTGTCTTATAATAGCTCCCTGCACAGAAGTACTCACACAATGGAACTGCTTTGTGTGGTTCTGACAGTCTACCATAGACCACTCAGAACATGCCTACTAATAAAGAAAGGGGTGACCTCCTCATCGTGCTATTGCTTCTCACTGCGTACCTAGCGGGTTGGGGGAGGACAGATGACTAAGGAAGCAGAGGTACCCGTCAGGTTGTTATTTACTATTGCCATAATTTTCAAGGGGTAAAGGGTGTTGAACTAAACATATGGAGGTTACATGCTGGTATAATAGTAAACCCGACAGACATGTGGGACATATAACGGATATCTTGAGATTATGAATTTTGCCTGGAGTACTCCTTTACTGTAAAGAATTCTGTTAAAATGTCGGTGATATTTGTGGCAAACTAGTGAAATATCTGTGCTTTTGATAGAAGTATGAATGGATACAAGTAGCTGAAAGTGTCTTTCTACCTATAACCCAAGGACAAAAATGGATTTGTGTAAAAATGCTATTAATCTAGATAAAGTGTCTGGGGATGGATGGATCAGAGATTTTTTTTTTAACATAAAGGCTATGTACAATCTATGTATTTTAATTTAAAAAAAGTAATATTGGAAGAAGGTGTTTCCACAGAGAATATAACTTCAGATAAGAATATATATTCCTTAACACAGTAACATCCTGTAGGACGGCAATAACCCTCAGGTTAATCACTTAATTTAATATATAATTAGATGCATGAGGTATTGCTGAAAAATACATTGTCTTCAGGGTAGAAGCCATAATTTCACATGAGTAGCAAAGTATAATCAACAGTTATGACGGTTATTTTAAAGGCAGTGAGATATAATTTAGGAAAGGTTTTATATTTTATTGCTAGTGGTCTCTACTTTGAAATATTAAACTCACTGCCTGAACCCTATTCTAGATACCCTGAGGCTATATTATACTTGGTGATATTCTGGGCAGCTGGTTACGCACATGTATAATGTCAAGACTTTTTTTACATTCCAGAAACTCATACTAACTGACTGCCACTGGTGAATATTACATCTGGTGAAGTCAAAATTCTAAGCTTTGTACTGTACTTTTAAAAAAAACAAAAAACAAATACTGTTTTTTAAAATTAGAATGAACGTCCACATGAACAGCTAAATAATATACAAAATACATGATTATTACTTAAAAAGAAAGCTCAATTAACTAAGTTATAACGCTAAGGGCTTGTTGAAGTCAATGGCACCGCAGCCACGCACCCCTGCCCACAGTGCGATCGGACGCGTGACAAAACATTGCCTCGGTTCCGGTCCACTGCAAATGCAAAAAATGCTGTATGTGGTGTCATTGACTTCAATGGACCGCCACGTCCCCTCCAGCCCCAGAATGAAGGGGGAAGTTTTGTGAGCGATTGCGGTGCGTTCCAGCAACTACCATTCTGGAACGCACCACAATTGGTGTGAACAAGCCCTTTATATATAACAATCCGTATCTTAAGCAATGAGAGCTGAAAACAGCATAAAGTAGATATCATATAGATTAAAATGAAGATTATAAAGGCAAATAATACATGTATTACAGCATCATTACAGCACATTTAGTAATATGCAATTACTGAAATGCAAAGCAACCAATTAACAATTATCTTCCAAGGTACCCAGGTATTTAAACACATTCCTCAAACTATAGTGTCCAACATACCTGGAAAAGTACTTAATTTCCTATAGCAACAATTTCAGACTATTTAGGTAAAAGCAACATCTGTAGTATAAATGACTGCAACATTGAAGGTTAGAAAAACAAAGTTCAACAAAAAGTCATCTATCTGCATTGGAAATATCCATATAGATCTCCAAGGTTTTCCGTAGTTCATGAATAATAAAGCCAGACCTTATTTCAAATCCTGTGCACCTGTAAGATATATTCTAGTAAACTGGTGTCTTTCATGGCTGCAAGTATTTAAACATGTGCATAATTTCCTAATCGTAAGTGATTACGTGATGTGTATAAGCACTCAATATGGCCAGAAAGGTCTGTGGATATGTTCACCCAAAGATGGCCAGCCATAGATGTCCTAGTTAAGTAAATGATCTGCCATGTATAATAAAAATTTACTATAACATTAAGT